GTGAAGATGAAACTCAAATACTTTGGCCACCTAATGAGAAGGAAGGACTCCCTGAAGAAGAGCCTAATGCTGGGAACAACTGATGGCAAAAGAAGAATGGGGCGGCAGAGGATGAGGTGAATAGATGGAGTCACTGATGCAGTCAGCATGAGCTTAATGGACTCCGGGGGATGGGGAAGGACAGGAAGGCCTGGAAGAATGTTGTCCATGGGTTTGCAATGGGTCGGATGCAACTTTGCAACTAGCAAGCAAGCGTGCATGTGTAAAGGTGACGGTAAAGAAATCCCTGTGGATTTTACTCCACTTAGCCAGTGGCTAATGGAGGGTGGAGCTCATCTCCAAGACTGAGCCAGCAGAGTCTGAAGAAGATCCTGTGGTCATGTGGCCAACATAATGCCATAGAGCACTGTCACCTTCCCATCAAAGTGGTACCTATTTATCTACTATGTATGTGTACTCACCATATAAGAACATACATACCACATGGGTTCTTTCATACAGAATAATATTTTGCAGAAAGGAAACTAACAGCAATGGCAGCAAAGGCCAAGTTTTCATGTTGCACAAAGTTCTTCTACCAGCAGGAAAAAAGCAATGTTTGATAAAATAGTGGGGCAATCCATGTTGCTAAAATTCCTACAGGTCAATTTTTGAGTGCATTTAAAGAGTTGAATAAAGCTAGTCTAAATTTCCTGGCAATTTCAACTTGCAAACCAAGTTATTCAAGCGATAAGTATATTTGTTTTGCACATTGGCAGGAGTTTTGGGGACAGAAAGTCACCATGACCCTCCTATGCCTAGGTGAAATTCAGTTGTAATAAAAAAAAAAAAAAAAATGAAACAATGTGCTTCCATTAACTGTCCATCAATTCCAAAGGTCCTTGACAAACATAATGGTGACTGAAGGAGACACTCGATTCCTATGCATGAACAAACGCTTAGCAAATGATTTTTCCTGAGAGCTCCATTTATATTTTCAAGATATACTCATTTGCCCTTGTTAGATCTCATTTGCAGCTGTTATCTTCAAGAGGAGTTGCAAAGCAAATGGTTTGCTTGAAAGCAAGTTGGTGTTTGTGTACTTTAGAAACAAGTTCTAGTTCTCAAGGTTTGCAGCAGTACCAAAAGAGGAAGGCTTTGTGGGGAAAACTGAAGGAAGGGAATTCCCTCACTTAGTCCTCTTAGGACTGAGCCTGCCCAGTGGCCACAGAATGTTGTGGGTGGGAAACCGGAATGGAGTTCTGTGGACAAGAGCACAGCTGCCAGACTGTAGCAGTGAGTGGGAACCCTCCATGCGGCAGTGTTGCTGCAGGACACACTGTGCACAGAAGTCAAAACTGGCTCGTTTGAAAAGGGGTTGGCTTTGGGGAGGAAGGTGTTACAACCTGTTTGCTTTAAAAAGCCCACACAGGGCACAGGGGACGGAGGAAGCTGCCTTTTCCTGAGTTAGACCCTAGATCCATCTCCCCTAGCATATTCTAGACTGACAGGCAGCCTTTCTTTGCAGCTGAGGCAGAAGCTGATCATAGATCAAATCAGGTCAGAAGTTTCCCTGGAAGTAAGACATGATGGAACTACAGCTCTTGTCCTTCAGGCACATCATGAGAAGGCAAGACACACTAGAGAAGACAATGGGGTGAGGGAGAAGAAGAGAAAGATCACATATGAGATGCATCCATTCCGTAAGTGAAGCCACGTCCTAGAGTTTTCCAGAGCTGAGCACGGCTGTCAAGGACAGAACACTGGCATTTGTTCAAAGGGTCTAAGTTGGAGATGACTTGCTGGCACATAGCAACAAACCTAGAGATGCCAGGGACTGAATCTGGAACCTTCTGCATGCAAAGCTTGTGCTTTGTTAAATAGCCACAGCCCCTCAGCCATGGGAGAGGCAGCTGTACTGTTTCTGATGGTGCTGATCCAGGGGCTGGAGGAGAAGGAGAAGGAGACTTAGTCCAAGGAACTCCCCCTCGCCTCCCCCTTGCTTCCTCAGTAGGGGATCACTGCCTAGCACTGAGGATCAGAGGTGCCTGGTATGCTTAAGCACTTCTAGATTCCAGTAAGTGAATGCAAGTAGTTGTGCATTTTACTCCAAGATGAGGGTGGAATCCCATGCACATTTACAACAGAAGTGCTATTGAGCACAGTGTAGGTAAACATAATAGGATCTAAGCATGAGCAGGCTTTAATAATAGGAGTTCAACCAGTGGCTGCAATTCTGCATATACATATCTGGAAGGAGGCCCTAGTGAAATTCTTATCTGATACATGCAACCACACAGCAGGTTTAACTGACATCAGTCGAACTTCAGTGAGCTCAAGAGGATGCAAGATTAGAAGGCTGTTTAGTTCTTTGCAATGGGTTTGTCACTCTTCCTTGGTACTGTGCTCCCCATTTGAACTCCAAGGTGTCCACCCCCATCCCAAAAACACAGTAGTTATTTAATTGCTGTTTCAGCCAAAGTAATCTGAAGCAAAATCTGGAAATTGTCCCTTAATCTTGAAAGTTCTTTTTGGTAGCATTTCATTTTGGTGTGAAGCAACAGGCAAATGCTAGTGCCAGGGAAAGAGGCCCCACTGCAAGATGTGCAAACAGTAGGTGCAGGCTGAGATTTTGGCAATTATTCGGCAAGGCAAGGGGAAAAGGGGGCTGAATCAAATCTCTTGCATTCTCTTCCTGATCTACAGAAATTTAACCTTATTTGAAAGAGCTCCATGGACAAAGGGGACAAAGAAAAGCACTATGAACAATGCAAAGAGACAGGACTTTAGCAGCTATGTTACTATCAACATCATGAACCACTTTGTCACATGAAGCGAACTGAGGTTGGGTTGGAATCGCCACGTACTCAAGTATAAGGTCTTAGGGACAGGGGAGTTGCAGGGGTAGGAAGGCACTAGAATGCAGTGGTTTAGCAGTTTAGAACTAGGTTCTCTGTAATAACTGAGTCAGATCTGGGGAGGGAAACAAGGTGCGGAAGCACTTGGTTTGATCCAGACTTACAGTAGACCACTGAAATCAATGAGATGAAAGCATGACTAAGTTTAAATTCAACACAGAATGTGAGAGCCCTTCCTATGATTTCACTGGAATTCAGCAGTGAAATTTGACTATAAACATGTCCATAAACACTATTTTTATATGACAACAATGGGTCTAGCCACAACCATTTAAATGTCTTCTTTCCTTGCCATTATTTGTCCTACATTTTTTACATTTTGCTCACTGGGGAGAAGCATTAGGAAGTTCTGTGTAAGTTGATTGACCATTGTCATCAGTACTGCCTTCCCCAGAAGATTAAACAGCTCTGAAACGTTGCAATGAAGAGCAAAGATGATAACCGTTTAGTTTCATGTTGATATAATGATTTTCTTATAGTTGTTTGTCTCGTTAAAAAACTTACTTGTGGAAGCGCAACATTCCCCCCATATATATATAGTCTCGCTTCTACATGGGTATGGATATATACATATACGAGAGTTGACGGCAGGCATTAGGAATACTCTTAACTCTACCTAGCTCGTCCGTTTTTAAAAAATGAGCAGTTAGTGTCCTCTAGCGGAGAAAACCATTTAAGCATATGCTTCTTGTTCAGTCGAAAAGTCGTGTCCGACTCTTCGCGACCCCATGGACAACATTCCTCCAGGTTCTCCTGTCCTCCACTATTCCCCGGAGTCCTCTCAACCCCACACCCTCCTTCCCATCCAGCCATCTCAACCTCTGCCATCCCCTTCTCCTTTTGCCTTCAATCGTTCCCAGCAGCTAGATGCTTAAAACATCTTTCCTGGAAGTAAAACTAAAGCAGCAGCAGCAGCAGTGTAATCCCACGCACGGTCAGACCAAAACAAGTCCTGCCAACCCCCAGCATTTCTCAAGTTGCCGGAGTAGCTGGCGAATACGACGAGTTGTAGAGCTTTTCTCTGCCCAAACGTGCACAGGATCGCACCCTCAATTAATTGGAACATTTGCCCAGATTACTATGTTTAAGGCTGCAGTCCTATGCTCACTTACAAGGAAACAAGTTCACTTAAATCAACAGGCGCTACTTCTGAGTAGGCATGTATAGGATAATGCGGTAAGGCTGCAGCCGCGTGTATTTATTTTTTTACACCAGGAATTTTCAAACCACCAAGAAATTACTTCGCGTCGTCTCCGTCCAGGTGTGCGGCGCGCAGCGAGAAGTGAAAAGCGCCGCGCACCACCGAATTGCTCGCAACGCAGTCCTGAAGGTCACGTGATACGTGCGTCTGACGAATAAGGGCAGGCGCCATGCGACGTGGGGGTATAAATAGAAGCAGAAAGAGCTTTGCCGCCCTTTCCGCTGCAACGGGCGGGGTAAGTCGCTTGCTGCTGAAGGTGTTTTTCTTGCTAGGGAAAAGTGGCGGCGGTTTCGATGGGAAGGAAACCCCGCTTTGGGCGCATTTGAAGCCACGAAATATGGGTCTGCCACCGGGAGGCCTGAACGGCTGCTTTCCCGGGTGCGGCAAGGGGCGACCCAGAGTGCGGGTTGGTGAGAACGCGGCGAAGGCAGCCTGGGCTGTCTTTAATGGCCCCGGGTTGCAGTCGAGGCCCCCTGAGCGTTGCGGAGCTTTCCGAGGGAGGAGGCATCGCGCTGGGCTGCTCGCGTCCCCGACGGGGTCAGGCAAGAGGGCGGACTAGCGCTTCGCAGGCGGGATGGTGCAGTGCGGCGGGGGGATCGCGGAAGCCCAGTTTCTCGGGATAGCTTCCCCAGTCTCCTGCTCTCCAGATGTTCTGGCCTTCGGCTCCCAAAAGCTCCACCCAGCACGCTGAATCGCCAGGAGCTCTAGGGGTTGTAGGGCACGACATCTGGAAGGTACCCGATTGGGAAGATTGCTCTGCGTGGAAACGAAAAACGAGGGCAGGTTTAGGCGTTACTGCTTAAAGGGGTTTACAGCGCTATTACGAAGAGGTCTGATAGGAACTGGAAAGCAGTGCCTTGCCTTGGATAACTCACTGCTTTGCGCCCAAATTGCTGGTATCTAAACCTATGTTGGATATTTTAATGGCTATATTTGCTATCAGCACTGTTGTATTTTTTTCTCATCTTCGGCTGAAAAGCAGGGGAGAATGTAAGGCTTGAGTAGCAAATTCTTGCAAATAAGCTGCCCAACCCCTTGTTCTTTTGCACTTAATACAGAATGGTAGAGCAGTGTTATGCTTTCAATTAAGTTTACATGGCCAAAGTGGTGCTCTGAGTGAATGGTTGGCTATATGGGGTGGATCTGTCTCTGAAGAATTTGTGCATGGAGGAGACCCCAAAATCCATGCTTGATTCTGTATTGGAACCGACTATGGCTTCCCTAAAGAAAATGTATGCACACTCGTGTGTCTGCTTTAGGGACACTAGGCTGAAGGTGTGTGGTTGATTAGGAAGCACATAGAAGTAAAAACATTAGATGTGGAACTTCATATCTTCTAAAACCAATCTGGTGGTGTCCTTAACATTTTGGGCTACAGCATGGCCTGTTGGGTATTACAGGAATTGTAGCTTAAAACACCTGGGGGGCACCAGCTTGCTTGCCCTAAAACCTCTGGGATGAGGCAGGATATGAGGGGTGGGGAGTGGTAATCAATTGCTGGCTGCTGTGATGATTCTCTTTTGGCGTGTTAGACTTCTGAGTCAGATGAAGAGACCTCGAATCTGAGCTTCCAGCATTAGTCACCAAAGATGTGCTGTGGTACCTGCTTTCTCTTTCCATTGCAGTGACTTTTGTCACCGCTGGCCATCTGTGCAAAGCAATTACTTGTTAAAGATGGCACAGCAGAAGTTCTCTAACTGAAATAAGATTTAAAAATGCTTTGGTCTTCTAGAAGACGACCTAAAATTCACAGCCAGTTACTGGCCATTAAGTTGTGGAAATCTGACCTGTGCCATGTGTTTCTGAAAAAACTACAGGCATGCTAATTGCTCTTGAAAAGTAGCGTTAGTTTGGCAGTACTCTAAATTCTGCTTTCCTTATTTGCAGGCACGACAGATTCTGAAGGGGGCACATGGAACGAAAATCCTGGAATCAGCTATTGTTCATTGATTAAAAATGCTGAGGGGATGAACTGGAAATAAAAGAGTAAATGCTAAATACGACCGTTTCTTTGTGGAACTTTCTTATTTGGCTTTGAAGCACTGCCTTTGAACTGGTGCTTGGCCCATTTATGGCCTCACTGGCTACGCTACAGTGCAAAATTAAAGAGCTTGCTTATAACTGGTGTTGCTCAGCTGAAACCTGAGTGATTCTTTTAAGGGCAAGTTACATTTCATCCTGTGACTGATACTACAGGCCAGAAATAAAGCAAGGGTGAAACTGCAGTAAACTCTTTAAACCAGTGTACAATGGCCAGATTGGCTGGGGAGCAATGAAAGTTGTAGTCTTAACAACTGAAGGGCTTGTTTACGCATTATACCTGGGTGGTATCATTTGTACCTGCACAGTAGTGATTTCCAAAATGTCCACTTCCTTGAGATTTTTATGCACTGCTCATTCTATGTCCTGATGCCCTGCAGGTTTTTTGACCATACTGGGAGTGTCATTTTTCGAACCCTAAGCTGGGCCTTAGCCCAGCCCTCACAGGGTTCTGTAAAATACCTGTCCTGATAGAGATTTCCAGAATAATCACTTTGTGGATATTTGCAAGACATCTTTGCAGCGCTAGCTCTTTCTGTCCTTTCTGAGCACGCTGCACGTATTTTCACAATCTTGGGAAGGGTCATTTTTCGAACCTGAACCCTAAGCTTGGTGAAAGCCCCATCCCCAAAATGGGGTTGAAATAGACCTGTTGCAGTAAGGATTTTTAGGATGTCTTACTTCCTGGATGTTTTCCTGCACAGCTCATTGTTTCTGCCCTTCCCGAACATCATGCAAGCATTTCTACAATCCTGAGAATGGTAATTTTTCCCACTCTGACCCTTTTCTTGTTTATCAGGATCGCAGTGTTTTGATATCTGCTCGTGGTTTCCCAGAGAAAAGTCTGGGGCTCACAGCATAAAAAAATGGACTTGGGATAGAATTAACCAGCAAAACCAGGCACCCTCCTTGGTTGCAAACTTTAGCAAGTCATGCAGTTGGGTCTAAATAGAGTGGAATAGCTGCTTTGGAAGTCAGCAGCAGCAGCTGGTAGTGGGAGGGTGATGGGCTCCAAGAGCAGAATCTGATGACACTACACTGGACATGTGTCCCTTGCTGCTTGTGCAATGGCAATTTAGTAATTTGGGGCAGGCAACTCAAAACCAGCAGTGCTACCTAATGAAAGACTGGAGCTCTCATGAGGAAGCTCTACCAATCTGCCTCCTTCGAGAGAAGCTCTTGTCATGGGACTTCCCCAAGAAGCACTAAATCTCCCGTGGTGTAGTTCCTTGCAGAGTAGGTGGGACAGGACAGCTTTTCCTTCCCCTGGTAACAAAGCTGGGCAGGAGTGGACTATGAGTGAGTGGCCAGGAGCCACCAGTTGTGAGGCCCAGACTGACTGCTAAGGCAGTTCTGCAGCTAAATTTCTCTCGCCACTGGATGGAGCCACCTCATTCCTGGCGATGACTTCAAAAATCATGTTACAGCAGGACTTTGATATAGGATAAGTTTATTTCAGAAAACAAAGCAAAACCCATTGTAATAACCCACACAATCAGATTATGAAGTGCAATGAAGTCACTTGTGTCAAATCTGGGTATCTGTTTACACATTAGTGCATCTAGTCTTAGACTGATTGTTATTGCACATGGAAAAAAGAGCCGTGAACAAGACATGCAGACTTCAGGAGGCAGCAGATGCTTTCATAGTGAGGAGAGGGACTTAGAACAACACCCCAGAATGAAATGGTCACAAGTTTAGGTAACACCCCCTGCCCAAAAAGAAAAAAAAAACTGTCCAAATAAGAATCTTTAAATAGATAAAATGCTAGTTTTCTTTGTTTCAGGCAAGGTGCTTAAAAAAAATTAGCTTCATTTAGAATTGCAAATCGGGAACTTTTTACACACCATAACTGAACACAACATACAAAAAAAGGATTAAAAACCACTTAAAGCATAATAGTACACTATTAAGTGGTGAGCTCAAGAGCACACCAGCTTTGTAAACTAAACATTCTCTTGACACAAGTAGTTGGCAATATCAAGTATCAAGAAACACTCTACTGGTGTTGATCATTTGTGTAGTGTTCAAAACAGTTTAATGTGCATGATTCATGTCCATACAGGAAAGAAACAAGGCATTTCTCTTGAGTGGCATTCCCAGCCTGGCACTCCTCTCTGGGTTGGGCGGCCAACAGACTGGTCTACATGCGCCTGGAGGGCACCAACCTGGGGAAGGCTGCTCTTCAGCGTCGGCCACTTTTGGTCGTGGTGCTTCAGTCCTGTTGCACCTTTTTTGCACCACGATGGCCTAAATGGTGCCCTTTCAAACATGATAAGGACCAAGGTGCACTTGGGGCTTTGAGCCTCACAAAAAATTAGAAGCATATGTGGATCCACTGCACTTACACACCTAGGATGGTGCATGTTAAGAGGAAACAGCAACAGGAATGTGAGACAAGGTTAGTCAACCTAATTGAATGACTCCATCCGCATAGGCTAACCTGCAATTATTACTAGTGCACACATGCATGTACACACACAGTACTGGCCACTTCTGTGTGTGTGCATGTCTAACATTCATTATTCAGTTACAAGCCATGGTGATTGTACCTCACAAAAGGCTTCCTAGGGGTTGGTCTCATGGCCTTGCATAACGGTGGCTTCTTTCACAAAGAAAGTTGCTAGATCCCTCCTCACTAATCAAATTCTGTTTGCATGTGTTATATGGCTACTTGTTTCCAAAAGAAGCAGAATTCTTCATGAAAAAATAAGTTACTATGTATAATCCACATGAAGTGATTCACAATATCACCTGTACATCCAATTTACATTCTTCGCTCCAGAAAAAATTCAAAATTGCTTGACACAAGCTATCAGTCTGCAGAAGTGAAAGAACATGCCAGTTCATTTTACACCTCCAACTGCCTGAGAGAGAGAGGGAAAACAGCTTCCAATTTTACACAGATTTGTTCTTTACAGAGGACCACAAAACGAGACTATGTGCCTTGCCAATATTGCACGTCCGCAAACAACCCCATTTGTGTCAAAACTTCTGGGACAACTGCAACTGGTGGAGGTTCACCTACGTTCGGAGTGCAGCATGGTACACATTAATGCCTGTGTTGACCTCCAGCAGCAGCCTCTGCAAAGACAGGCCAGTTCAGAAACCAAATTAATGCTCAAGTAGATGGGAGCAATACCTGGACAACCGGTGCAAGCACTGGCATCAGCAGTCCTCTTCAAAAGCAATATGTGGCACCAAGACAAAAAATTCTACTCAGTATTTTTTGAAGAATGAACAAACAGACAAACAAACAGGAAAGCAATCCATTAATACTGTAAACTGCAGTCTTCGCATCTCATGGCTGGTCAGTAGCTTCTGTGACAGAATCCTTCAAAGGGCACACAGATGAGCGGGGATCCATGGCAGAGTGCATTAGAGGGATATAAACATCGTCCATGTTTGGCATAACAAAAATTTTCTGCAAAGCACCAAATAAATAAAATAAATGGAATACCATTCAAAGACAATCATCAAATACATTTCTCCAAAACTAGATTCACATCCTGGGTTGGGTCCATTAGCTGGAACTAAAGCACCTTAAGAAACCACAATCTACAGTTTCTAATTTTTAACTGGGAAATAACTGATAACTTGGGCCTTGGCATCAGTAGGCAAAATACACAAGACATTTTATGACAGATTCAGAAAACTCATCACTGGCCATTATGCTAACACCAAAGCTTTTCATATTACAAGTGACCATGCATTTGGCTACATTTTTACAAGCTTACTCTTGATTGGTATTCAAAAATCAGGGAACATCAGAATATCAAAGTACCAGCAAAGCAAAGACTGAGCATTTTCTAGAAACAGTGTAGGACGTGTTTATTTGAGCTGGCATCACATGCCTAGCATTTAAACTAGTGGGCAGAAATTTTAGTCTGTATGGTTATATCTTTTTGGCTGTATCTTTGGTTGCATTTTCATTTGTTGGTATTTTCAATTTGGCAGCTTTTTCTGCCACGCTATCCTTATGAAAGACTTGGTTAGTCAATTACCAGTGAAAATTAAAAGATCTTTGAAGATACATACCTGAAATTCTTGTTCCAATTTCTTTTCTATCCATTCAGTGACATGAACCAAAGTCACTTCTCTCTCACCAAGCTTTGGTCTAGCTTTTAGCTCCAGGTAGGGTGGCCTTCGAAAACCATACCTGAAGACAATGCAAATAATGAATTGTTACACTTATCAGATTTATATCATGGTGCTTTGGGGACACACATTCTGTGCTTTCTTCAGCCAGCCCCCTTTGAGGATGACTGGGCTGAGATGCAAATCCTTACCCATGACCATCTTGGGATCTTCGTGAATGAGCAGAAATTGAAGCTCACGTCTCCCTGGCCCAGATCCACCAATATATGCAGTATGTCATACTGCCTTCACAACATAACAAAGATGTGCCACTTTGATGGTATGCTTTTTGTTTAAAGGGGTACTTTGGGCTCTACTTTTAAAATACTTGTTTCTACTTCAGTGTGCATATTTAAAATTTAAATCTTTCAATATTTAAAAATTGTCATACTTTTTTCTTCTGGTTTAACAGTTGTCGGTCTGTTACTTTTTCAATTAATTTGTCCATTTCCACAATGCCTAATGGTGTGGTTGACATTTATTAGGAGTTCACATTGCTGCTGAATTCCAGTATCAAACGAATGCAACCTTAGTTGCTAAGAAAAGCATCACCAACAACAGGTTGCAGTCCTCAGGATATTGTCACCCAAACAAGTCAGCCATACAAATAAACATCTTAGGGTTCATATTTATTCTAGATATTTAAGCTAAGTCCCAGTATTTAAAAACAGGTCAAAGATCATCTACCCTACCATTTCCTTAGCCTTCATTACACTCCCAGCATCGGAAGTCCTCATCCTTAATTTTTCATGTAACCGGATTACAGTTAAATGCCAATGATACAAGAGTTTAGAGTGGGCTTCTGTCAAAGTCACACATAACGAGAAATCAATTGTGAACCTATTTTATGCCTATACATTTACTTTCAGTTGCAAATATATAGTTTGGTTGCATACCTCGTACATTTCTGCTGCCTAATTAAGGTCTGTTAGTCAAAACCCTGCTAAAAAGGGTGTAGCTTTCTTCACTATGTGACAGGCAAATGGGGGAGGGAGGAAAGAATTATTTCAGTGAAATCTTTCACTGCAGAGAATTCAAACTACAGTGGTGAGGATTTCATAAGAAGAAATGAGAAATTACACAGCCTTTGAAGGTGACAGCTTTGAAGGGCTGAAGCCCTCCTGGCTGCACTTACCATATTCTGTCAGTAGGTGGCGGTGGAATGTTGACTGCTAGCATCCCCTTACATTCTTGCACCTCAACGGTAAGCAGTAATGGAGTATTCGAGACTTCTTCGATCTTCTTTTTAATGAATTCTGTCTCTGTTGCTTTCTGGAAATACTTTGACTTTGTAATCTTATCTACGAATCTCATTATTTTACTTGTCCGGTGTCCTCCCACATACCTTTGAGAAAAGGAATAAGAAGGCATCAGGGGGAGTTTACAGCTGGCCCTCAAAAATAAGGGCCCTTAACATTTTCTACTATGCTGCAGCTGTAAAGAGGAGGTTTGGGCCACAGATGACCAGCCTGCTGCCGAAAGACTGGGAGGGCATGAGCAGGATGGGCTTCCTCCTGAAACACAGGAGAAAGGCTTATGGGCCTGGCGGTTGCACAGGGCAGCTTTCCTGAACCTGGTGCCCTCCAGCTGTTTTAGATTACAGCTCCCAGCATTCCTGACCATTAGCCAAGCTGGCTGGGGCTGATGGTGGTTGAAGCCCAAAACAACTGGAAGACACTCAGCTGGAGAAGGGTAGAATAAAGAATAGCAGACTTTCAGACCAGCTTCCCCTGCAGTACCCTAAATCAACAGAAGTCGCACGCCATGTAGAGAGGTGCAGGCCTCCTTAAGTGCACCCTACAGACTTGACCTGCAGTACTTTTGCCCAAAAGAGTGCCTACTGCTATAAGCCAGCCTCCTCCAGCCCAATCCCTTTCAGATGCAGTGGATTACAACACCCTTCACCCTGAGCCAGTACGCCTCTGGATAACTAAATATCACCCTTGGTTTATGGTTCATTTCTTTCAGTGTTAGAGATTTTTACTCATTTTGTTGCTGTTAATCTGCTATTATTGGCTTTGATACAGTTTTTTTTTTTTGTCAAAGCTTTAAGAACAGGAATGCTGTGCCTCTGAGAAATCTGAAAAAGGCATAACAAAAACATAACTTATGTAGGGCAGGGCTGGGAACCTCTTTCAGCTACAGAAGCTGGATAAAGGCAAGATACCTAACATATATTTTAGCTTAGGGCTCATCTTGCCAGTTACTAGTAAGTCTTTGGAGAAACATTTCAACCTGTCAAAACAGCCTTCTCTAACCTGGTGGCTTTCAGAGGCATTTGGGCCGCAACTCCCAGACTGCCCATCCAGCAGGGCTATCGACTGGAAATTCTGGGTGTTGCAGCCCAGATGTTTCTGGAAAGCACACGGTTGGGGAAGGCTGTTTTAGAAAAAGGGGAAAGCTGCACAAAAGCTAGAAAACCACCAAAGCACTGGTGATTGAGGCAAAAGGATATGGCCTTCTGGGGGCCCCAGGAAGGTTAGAATTGGGCACAAGGTTCCTGAGTAACATGCAGCCACTTGACATGTCATTCCTCAAGAGCAGACAGTTAAGGAGACAGAGTATTCATAACTGCATGAAAGGGTTGCTGCATGCAAAATCATGTCTATAGCCAGACTATTAAACAGTCATTCCTGGAATTCCCATGGCCAGTTTCCATTTGCTCAGTTAATTATGGTTTTCCTGAGATGGTCAACATGTTCATCAGTGCATCACCAGCAGCAAAACAGATACACCAAGATCTACAAATAGCTAGCAGTAGCATCCAAAAGCTAGCAGAAACACCTTTCTGTTCACAAATGTTTAGCAACTGATTTTCATTCAGCCCAAATTCTTTTTTCTGGTGGCACTGGGAGTGTGAAGCTGGCTATTTTTAACCACTAAATGTGCTCATTGTTGACTTGAACTGGCGTGATAAAGGACAATCTATTCCCCAAGTTCACAACAAGAATAATGTGTAACAAACTCCTCCTGCTGGGGAAACACTCAAGCATTCGGCATTATTTCTGAAGCCATGTCTATGCCTCCCTTTGCCCTGCCTCTCTCATCCAAATTATTTAACCCAGTGTCAGTACTGAGTTAGACAGACTAACAGACTAACAGTCTGACTCTGCATAAGACAGTCTCTTGTGTTCGCAAGGCAGGAGTTTTAGACGCATAAACAGAAGAATGGCAGCAGAGGAATAAGGCAGCTGCCTACTGCAAGGAGCAAGCATCTTATTCTCATTCAGAATCAGTAGCAAGTACACCGGTGTGGCATGATGGTTTGAGTGAGCTTTAGGAACCACAAGGTTCACTGGGCCAGTCACAGACTCTCAGTCTAAACCAGTGGTTTTCGACTGCTGGTTCGCCGGAGGTTTCCTGCCAGTCCATGGGGAGGGGGGGTGTGAGGGTTAGTGCAGGGGCTGCCTGTGCTCGACCACCTCTTCCTTGGTTGGCATCACGTTTGCAGGGGGTGCCGCTGGGGGTGGGGGGGCAGGGGAGGGGAGAGATGGCTTTTTGTTTCTGCCTCAGTGGTCCCCAAATGTGGAAAGGTTAAAAACTACTGGTCTAAACTATCTTACAAGGTTGTTGTTGTTGTAAGGATGAAATGGAGAAAAGCGTAAGCTGCCCTGGTTTCCTTTGCAAGAGGAAGAAAGGAAGGGTGTGTATATATAATATGACAAGAACACGGCACCTTTGGTGTATAAGGCATCAATGGGGCTTAGTGAAGACTGACTTTCCCACTGATTTCACCAGGTCTACTCTAAGTTTAGATGCAACTGCAGAGCTGTGCATATCATTTTGGGATGCTCCCACTGCATCACTATTCCTTCTATGAAGAGCTCTGTGGGCCACGCAGTGGGCATTATTTGTTTATACCAGCTGAGAATCATATTCCGTAAGAAAAGACCAGAACAATTTGCTGCCTAAATTTGCTCCCTGCAGGGTCCGCTGGCTTCAGGAACAGTATTTCCAGCTGGACGTGAGCTGACAGTACCCAAGCTGGCTCTGCATCAGAACATGACTGATGAAGCTTTTGGCTGTGCCCCTTTGACAGCTGCTCATTCCACGGGCAGCTTGTAGACCAGGTCCGCCATTTTCTCTCTCAGCAAACATGGAATTAAGACATCCTAGTGCCGCTTTGGTCAAACTGGATCCTTCCTGGTGCTTTCTTCTGCAACTCCCATCATGGCCATAGAGCCATGGAATTGGTACTGCAAAACATCTGGAAGAACCCAGGTTGTGAAAGCCTACCCTTGAGAGTCTGTATCTCCTTTGAACACATGGCCTCTAGTTAGCCCAGTGGTTAGGCGATGGGAAACAATATTTTCACTCAGGACCGTGTCTGATGTTCAAAAGAAATGCTGATACAGGACCAGGGGTCAGCACTTATGTTTCTTCTAGCTGTGCTCCTGCCATAGCACACAAAGCATTAAATTTCAAGTGTCCTTCACAGCAAGTTCTGCATCTTTGTGATCTAGAAGTGGAATTCACATACTTCGCCATGGAACTGATGCTCAAGTAATGACTGTTCATGGTACCACAGAAATATTGGAAGAGTAATCTCAAAATCCCTGTGCATTCCACTGGCAGTCTTTTGAAAACTTAAAACCTTCTTCACTCGCTCAAAAGTGGGCACATTTGCAAACCGTGGAGGCTTTGAATACACGCAGTTGTACCAGCGTCACCTAGACAACACAGGCTTTCAAAGGAGCATCTGAGTGGGCGGGGACCTTTCTGATGGAGAGGGAGTAGCACTTGCCATTCCTGGTATGTGACTGAACATGCACCGTTTACGAGATACTAGTATGCATCTGTGGTCACAAAACAAACCAGCAGCCTCCCTGTAGAAAAGACAAAGTAGGACTCACCCTTCTGCTCCAGGCACAAGAGGCTTTTCACTTCCAGTTGCTTCTGGAGCATCGTCTTCCTCTGAGGAGCCAGCGCTAGAAGATTCTTCATCACTGTCTGCAAGGCAATAGGCCCTTGGCCTGAAACTGAGAGCAGGAAGGAACATGTCTCAGTGCAGAAGACAAGCACCACAAATGTCTTTTGTGCCTTGTAGGACTACAAGCACAATCTTCCACAATGTGGTGCCCTCCAGGTATGCTGGCTGGGATGATGGGAACCGTGTGCTGGGCATTATCTGGAGGGCACCAGGGCTGGGAAAGACTGGACTCAGTTGTTATGGCCAAGATAATCTTTTCCATCTCCAGGTTTGTTTTTAAGTGAGCTGGAATTTTGACACAGTAGGATGCAACTTTTTCCTTCAACACCGCTGTTGAAATGAAGGTGAGTATCCCTACATGCAGTTGAATGGAGTGTGTATTTGATAATGCATAAGGGTGCACCTCCTTCATAGGTTACTTTCCAGTACAATTAAACGCAGTGCAGACAATTATACTACCAACATATGATGATGGGAGCTTTGACTTCACAATTTTAAAAAAAAACTCAATAGGACATGCTTGGGAAATCCAAATGGACTGCTGTATGAAAATTTAGGATTGATTTTGCAAGTGCTGTGCGCTTCCAGAAGAATTTCATGCCTCTCATGTATATGTATGCACTGCTTATTGCTCACTTTGGCCATAGCTGAGACATTTTTGCCTATCAGACTGGTTGCGAGCAGCAACAGCAGTGTATTTAAAACAGGGCGGTGATAGGGAGCCATGAAAACAGCAGTGGTCTCAAATGCCAAGTATAGCCAGCTTAGTAAAAAAGCTTTAAACAATACAGCATCTGGCCTCAACTTTGTATCCTCCAGATATTTTGGACTACAACTCTCAGTATTCATATCCATCAGCCAAGCTGAATGAGACAGATGGGTGCTGTAATCACAAACATCTGGAGGCTACAAGAATAGAGAAAGCTGCAATGTAGTAGAAAGATATCCTATTTATACAACCTCTTTATTGTCTGGCAGTTTTTTAGGTGTCTTTGGCTCTCACTGGGTTTTCTTTAAAGCAAACACTCTTAGTCAGCTGTAACCCATTGAACAGAAGATTTTTTGGTGCACTTCTTCAGAGAAAAGGGCTATTCAGTGCCCATAGAGTTATCAACACACTGTTATTTTTTCAATAGGCTTTTTCATCATTTGGAATATGCCAATAAACTGCAGCTGGAGAACAACAGAATGTGCAGTTCACTAATGTGGGTGGGAATGGGGGAATGTGCTATGGTCCATGTGTTAGGTCCATGTGCTATGTTTTAGTTCTACTGGGCTTCACAGCAATGGCAGCCTTCTCTGCAGACGGGCATGCGCATCCAATGGATTAAACCCAACATCCTGCTAGTAGAAGTCCACTGGCACATCAGGAAGATCTCCATCTCCTTTGCCCCTGCAGCTTTCCCAACACTAGAAAGCCGCCTTTGGCAGATACATGGCAAGATGGAAAAGGGGAGCAGAGACTGGGTACCATGGAAGGGCAGTTACCCCCTCACACCTCTGCAGACACAAACAGTTCCATCAGGGGAATGACACTATGGGATCCAACGCCATTTCCCTTGTGCAAAGCCAGAGAAAATGCTTCCTTAAAATTTGATTGAAGGCCTGTATTTTGGTGGACCATATTTTACTGGCACGCAATTGTGCCTTTTAGAAACTGTTCATTTTTAAAAGAAAGGGATTTTATAAAGGCTTGGTCCATTTCAGATAGAGAAGTTGGGAGAGTGGACAGGGGTTCTTAATTTTCCTTCCTGCCAAAAGGACTTAGCTTCTCCTGCCTCTCCTATTCCATCACCCGCAGGGTACTCTGTCCCAAAGGGAGTTCCAATCTCAGGCATATCTGCTCACACACCTGCTCAGAAGCCTACTTGGAGGACCTATCTGGAATAGAAAAGCTGTATAGGTGTGAGGCAGGCTACGCTTCTCTCCCTCCAGTGCAGGCTGATTCCTCCCTTTACATATTTAGTCTTGGAGCTCCCTTACAAGCATTTACAATGTTTGCAATGGAGCTGATGTGGAATGGGGGAATGACCCAATGAGTCTGCTCTGTGACTCCAGGTTCTAGTCCCTGTTCAGCTGTGATGCTCACTGGGCAACTCTGGGCCAGCCACTGGCTCTCAGCCTAACCTCCTTGGCAGGGTTCTTGTAAGGACAACATGGAGACAAGGAAGACCATGCAGGCCTTCTTGGGTTCCTTGCAAGAGGGAGAAAAGGCAGAAGAGAAATGTCATAATGATAAAATAATGGGAAGCAGCCAACACTGCCACTGAAGCGCCTCCCATTCAGCTGTGCTCGTGGATCAAGTTACCAGCAAGACAGTAAGAAAGTGCTTCCTGATGCACCCTGAAAATGAGTAGAAATGCTCCTTTCCAGAAGAGGACTGGCCAAGCAGAGCCCCCCCCCCCCCCCCCCGTGAGCTCTGCCGACCTGCCACACTCAGGAAACAAGTGCTTTCATTTTTCCAGCTGCTTTAGGAACTGCTCACTTCCCATTGGGCTAGCAGTGGGTCCCACAGGTGCACAAGCAGTATGGGATATCCCCCATGGTATATTTAGTTCCTTGCATGTCTCCACTACAAATGGATGGGGAATCCCAGCTAATGAATCACTCTAGACTCCAACCTCACTCGTAGAGAGTTCTGAGAAAGAGAGAGTGTGCATGCAATATAGGAAGCAAAGCCTAACTATTGCTCCAGGAAGTCCTCCCCTCCTATCTGTCCATAATTGATAATGTAATCTGGGAAATGAACACTTTGCATGCAAGTTCAATTGATTCAGAATAGGGCAGCATGGCTGTTGATGGGGACTGGCCCATGAGACTGTATCACACCAGTCCTCTCTCAGCTGCACTGGCTGCCAGTTGGTCTGGACCCATTTCAGAATGCCTGTACTAACATTTAAAGATTTGAACAGCTTGGGGCCAGGTTATCTGAAGGAACACCTTTTCCAGTATGTACCTACCCTAAAGATCATCTTCTGGAGTCCTTCTCAAGGATGCCCCCCCCCGGAGAAGGGGGGTGACATCTAGGAGAAGGACCTTCTTGGTTGTGGCACCCCATCTTTGGAATAAGCTCCCTAGAGAAATTTGTCTGGTGCCCACTCTTTTTTCCTTTCAGTGCCAGGTGAAAAACTTATTATTTTCCAGGCACTTTAACAGTAAAAAGTGTAGTTTCAATTGGGTTTTATTAGATGTTGCTGCTGTACCTGCATATCAAGTTGACTAGTTGTCTGGGGGTTGTATGTATGTATGTATTTATTAGTTTTTATTGTTTGTACTGTGATACCATTATGTTTTATCTTTGCTTATATGTTTTAACTTTGTAAACTGCCCAGACAGCCTTTCTGGCTAGGGGGCGGCATATAAATGCAATACGTAAGTCAATTGATGAGCACAAGGCAAATGGTTGCAGCCTTTCTTTCCAAGCCATCTGCTACCTGACAAAGCCCTAGCACAAGAGGACTGCTTGAAGGTGGTAGCTTGCCACAGTGTTCTCACTGCAACAGGGAAAAGCCAGTGGTCTGTAGCATCCTGCCAAGATTTATGGACGGCTACGGATACTTCCCCTGCAGCCAACCTCACCCCACCTCTCCCACATACAGAGCAAGCTCCAGAAGCTTCCAAACCACAAAATCCCCATTATTTTCCAAAGTTCTCAGGCTGCCGTTCTTCCCTGCAGTCTGCCACCAGCACCTCTGATCAGGCATAGGAAGTGGCAGTTACAACAACAAGCAACTGTATTTTTGCTTGTTGGGAAGTGAAAATATCTAAAACAATGGTTGGCTAACACAGTCATATGACTCGCAAGCACTATTTTGGCTTTTTACTAGATAGTATGAAACCCATGACTAAACCAGCCAACCTACTTTTAAACTTTCCGTGCTGTTTTGTCACTTTTGTTATAATCTCTCTAGTTCAAACCAAGGGTAAAAGGAACCTCATATTGTTTGATTCTAAAGCAAATATTCTGCCATCTCTCTCATCTGTATGTGCTTGTTCAATTCTAATTTATGATCATGAGTCCTACATCATAGTCAACTCCTTTCGAAGTCATACAGACTATTCATGGGGATGTGTGTTAAAAGTGCCCACAAATAACACAATGAAATATTTCTGGCCCAGCTCTCTAATTTTTAAGGAAATTGGGCCATTTGTAGGAAATTGGCAGTGATCCAGGAAATCGACCAAGAGTAACAGTGTATAAAAAAGGGAGTTTCTTGGAGAAGCTATGGTAGAATCATACGAGAGGCTGCAGCCACATAAGCAGGCGTCAGCAAGACCCGTAGGACCCTGATATCCAAAGGGACAATGACTGAGCTGGACTCCCCACTCCTCTGACGCTGTTCAGGGCGGAATGTTTACCTGCCTCCTTCGTCGCTCTCCAAGGGACCACAATTACAGCAGCAGCTGAGCATGCACAGAAGTGCACGCTGTGGCAGAGAGGGTGCATTGTTTTTCCAGCAGCTCTTTTTATTTGACAGATGCAGTGCTGGAAGGGGCAGTGACTGAGGCAAGCTTGGCGGGGCGGGAGGCAAAGTAAGCCACTGTGCCATTCCATGCAATGTTTAATTTTTAAATCTTAGCTATGAAGACGAACAATGTTTTACATGTGGACTTCTTTCTCTCTTTCAAAAATAAGAATGCCCCAAATAACCAAGATCCCTAGTTTAAAAACAGACTCTGCATTTTAAAAAGCAACATATGCTTTCTGAGGATTAATGGTGGGGGACTCGGAGCTAAGCAGTCCTATTCTGTGCATTCCTAATCAGAAGTAAGCACTGTTGAGTTTGCTGAGATGTGTTTCCACATACATTTGCTGAAGAAGGATGTCAAGAAAAAGGTGAAAGCCACTTCACAAAACCCTTTCTCCCTGTATAGTGAGTCAATTTTATGATGTTTTAGTTGAATAATATGGTTCTCCCCAGTCCTACTAAATAGATTATTAAGGTGCTAATATTCCTGGGTTTTGCTGTATTTTCTAATACCAAAGCCCGATCCACAAGTTTTTCCTTCATGTATTCAGTGGCAAAATACAATTGACACCAGAAAAATGCAACCAGAATGCTTGTTTCCCAGTAGCTGCTTGAGAAAGAACTGGATTTAGCTTATATGCGTACCCCCTGCCTCATTCCATTGCCACTGACAGAAATTGCCCCCGCAGGCTGCTATTAGCAAAACAGACGTTCATGACAGATATTCACTACCACAGTCCATTGCCTCCTTCTCCTCCATTGCTGCTTCAGGTTTAGGGAGACCCAGTCAAGGATCCTGGCCTCACATTCAGTTTGACCCTTAGTTGGCCCATGTGGAAATTTAATTTTAGACCCACCGTTATTAAAATGATCAATAAAGCATTATGACTCAGCCTTTGGCATCAGAGGCACTGATTTTATCTGCAGATTGCAGAAAAGTACATTTGCAAGGCTGTTTCCCCCACCGTCATCCAAAGCTTAGAAGCACTCTAACAAACAGCTGAGTATGTAGCAACACTATTTCTGCACTTGCCACTTCATACTGCAGATGGGGAAAAGGCAACATCCAGGTTTTTCCGAAACTAGGGGAAGTTACATTATTCCTGGTGAAGGGTTGCTAGTCCCCATGAGCAATGCAGGGACACTTGTCCCTCCTGCAGGAAGGAGCATTTGCCAGGCGTCTTTGAGGAGCGCATTAAGAGAAGTCATTCTCTTGAGTTTCCCCTTCCTCTGCTATAAGGGGTAGGATACTCTCTTAAGACCAAGGGCCAAATTTTCTTTTGGAGAAGCTCCCGGGGGACATATTCCAGCCAAAGGCAAACACAAGCAGAGCTGGAAGCAAAAGGAGCAAGACCAAAAGCACAAAAAGTGCCAGCGCGCTGCAGCTTAAAGCTCTTTCTGCTGATCCTCATGAGAGGCATTTCAACTTTTCAGAACTGGGGGGATGGACAGACTGCAGACAAAACAACAAAACCAATAACAGGAAATCCCCAAGTGTTTGGGGTACTTTGTAGGAAGGGTGGGATACTGTGGCCTTCTGGGAAACCCTAAAGGGATGGATTTCAACTCTGGGTTTGAGGTTCCCCACCCCAGTTCAGAAGTCGTTCCAGTAATTCCAGTTAGAAAAGTAACCAGCACATAACAGATGGAAGAAAAGGAAGAACCCAGTCATGACTGTGTATTGAAGACACATGCCTAAGTGTGTTAAAATAATTATTTAGAGGTGGGGCTTCCAAAGAATGCCTCTCCACAAGAGTCAAGAGGCAGCACTAAACCATCTGCTTTTAAAGCCATCTACTTTTAAAACCATCTCTTTTTCCAGGGAAGAAAACCCTCTGAATGGTCTCAGCACTTAACAGAATCAATGCTTCACAAGGAATGAGATGATGTGACAAATACCACTCACCAGAAAAAATCCACAGATTGACAAATCCAAATATCATTAAAAAGGAAAGCAAATGAAGGCAGGGAGGGGAAATAAAATCTAAGTTAGAGAAGACACAGCATGGTGAAGTAGCCAACTAGTTTCAACTAGGAGAGGCGTCATTTAGCTAATGTGAAGTAAGCAGAACTAGTTAGCTGACATTTAAACAAAGCTGTATTTACATTTTTACAAACAGGTGTTCTTAGGACATTGCTTGGATTGTTGGCACAGCATCAGAGACACTGACATGACAGTGTAAACAAGTAAGGGTAGCAGTCAAAATATTAATTCTTAAGAGATAGAAAAGGGTCCCAGGAAGAATTTTTTGGAGGGGAAACAGAATCAGTGTGAGAGAGGATCAAATGTTACAGTCATGACTAGAATTAATGCAAATGGAAGATACTAACAAAATAGGATACAACTATATGAAATCACTGGGGAGAAAGCAGGGCAAAAGAAAAACAAAACAGGAGTTTGCATTCTATGATAGTTATGCCTTCTGTGTCCCAGCTCTTATCAATACACTATCTCTATCTCTGTCTCTCTTTACCTCTGCACACCCACAGACTTTTTGTACATGTATAATGCATGTCCTGTGTTCCTCAGCAGTATTTTGTTCTAACACAATATTCCCCATGAGCCTTGATGCAGTGCCAACAGCACAATATGCTGCCTCTACGAAAGGGACAGGGAGAGGTAGCTTTACTGCTGTTTGCCTCTCCTGCAACGTGGATGTGGGCAACCTCCAGCAAAGGGGAGGAAAAGCGCACAGCCAAAGAACAAAAAGCCAAAGGGAAAATGAAAGAATTTTGAGCTCAGGGGATTTGCTGGAAACAGAATGGAGCGCAGAGTTGTTCTCGCTGTGCAGAAATCCATTCCAGGTTACACTGCCCCCACAAGTGCTCTTCATTGCAGCAGTATAATTTGGAGCGGGGTTCTTTTGTTGCTACCCTTGTTAAAAAGCAGGAGGTCCTTGCCAATCTACTCCAGGTCACTCAGAGGTCTACCAGATATGCAATCTGTCTTCCCATGAATTTAAAAATAACCACTTGTTAATGAATTACAATTAAAACTTAGTTTATCTGAACCCCATCACACCAGTATAGCTGGGTATTTGTAGCTGATCTGATCAGCAATTTGCAGGTGGATCCAAAACCAAACCAAATCCCCACTACACAAAGAGAAAATGCTCATGAAGGATACATCAACATACTTTGAGGTCAGCTTCAATGTATTACAATAGTTTCTACTGAACTACAATGGTAACCATTCACTATGAAAAAATAGTGTTATACTCATGAGCTCTTTCATGGAAAGAAGGTACAGTTACCTATGAGAATGGTAGTATTCTCTTTTGGTAACAGCTGAAAACAAAACAGTAAAATTTCTTACCCTTCTTTGCCAAATTCTCCAACCTTCAGTGCTTCACCCAAAGGTTCTTTCCCAAGTTTGGTCAAATTCATTTTGGTCTCGAGAGTCATTAGGAAAGATCCATTGTAGGATATTTCCAAATCAATCCAAAGTCCTAGAATTTTAAGAAAGCAACATTTTAAGTACTACTGGCAACACCACACACAGCCAAGAAACTCAGCCACAGCCTATGTCTTCAGACTGATCCCTGCAACTTACATCACATTCCTTGCTTCATCACAAGCCAAGGCTATCCTTACTAATCAAACAGCTGTTTAGATTTATGACACAAGCAGGTGGGAGTATAATCCAGTGGCCTTAGGCATTTCAGTGCTTTAATGGTACAGATGATATTTGCCACATTGACCTCAGAAGCAAGGCAATACCACATTTCACTAGACTAACTTTGTGTGGTGTTCTTGGAGAAGACTCCCGAGAGTCCCTTGGCCTGCAAAGAAACCAAACCAGTCATTCCTAAAGGAAATCTACCCTGACAGTTCTTTAGAAGGACGGATACTGAAGCTGAAGTGCAAATACTTTGGCCACCTAATGAGAAGGAGGGACTCATTGGAGAAGACCCTGATGCTGGGAATGATTGATGGCAAAAGGAGGAGGGAATGGCAGTGGTTGAGGTGGCTGGATGGCATCACTGGGGCAGTGGATGTGGGGCTGAGTGGACTCCAGGGGATGGTGGAGGACAGGAGAGCCTGGAGGAAAGTTATCCATGGGGCCACAAAGAGTCAGGCATGACTTTGCAACTAAACAACAAAAACAAGCTTTTGCCGGAAAAGAGGAAAAAACCGTCATTCCCTTGCAACAGGAGTAAGCAGAAGTTAAACTGAGATCTATTTGAAGATCTCAGGGCAAGTTGCAGTAAATCAGCAAGAGTCTTCAATTCCCACCAGCACAACTACTTCCTCAGTTATGTTGATGAACTCAAGAAAGCTTTGGGGAAAGTCCTGTTCTGGAAGTAAAAACAAAATTGTTGACTTCAAATATACTAATTTTATTGTAAGTGTATTTCTTTTCCACCTGGGCTCTGCTGGTAGATCCTGAGGTTCAAGTAAAAAGCAAAACTGAGAGCCAGTGTAGTCTAGTGGTGAGAATGTTGGACTGGGCTCTAGAAGATCAGGGTTCTAGACCCCACTTACCTCTGGGTGACTCTGGGCTAACTCTCAGCCTGACCACAGGGCTGTTGTGAGGATAAGACTGAGAGCAGGAGGAGGACTATGTCAGCCCCCTCGAGTTCTTAGAAGAAAAAAAGGCAGGGTATAAAATAAACCAACAAATAAACAAATAAAATCAATGTAGCAAAGCCTGAAATCTGTCCACCCATGTCCCCAACTTAAAAGCTGGTCCAATCAAAAGGAAACAAGATTTATTTACTGCTTCCTCAGAAATTTCTATTTTGGCCTAAGAACCAAAGTCAATTTAACAGGGACCATATTCTATTGGTGGGTGTCTAGAGACAAAGTGGTTGGGACAAAAATATTTAAAACCTCAAAAACAGAGACTGGCATTTCAAAACTTTTAGAATGGGAGAGAAAACTACACAAAGGTCAGTAAACCACCAAAAGATTAGTGGTTGTGGGAAAGGGGGTGGGAGCTCTCTGGGGAATTTGAGAAGGATGAACTGAGGACTGGACTGGGTCTCTAGGCCTGAGGTTCCCAAACCCTGATTTGATTCACGGATGACCAACCCAAGCAACTAGTGCCTCAACTGGCAAATTTTACTTCCAGTCAGTATCCAGAGGGTCCATGAACCCAGCAAAAGCATACATTCAACCTCACATTCCTGTCTTCCTCGCTGCTTCTCTGCAGTTCAGCAGATAAGATGCAAAACCATGTGAAGAAAAGAACCCTCCTTATGTATTGTACTGTACACTGGACATTGCACCATGAACAGTATGCAGAGCAGTTCTGCGAAGAAAATGCTGGCCACCAATTCAGTTCTGCAGTCACATTTTTCCTCTGATGCTCCACTCCAAGGCACTCCACTGAAAACCGCTTTACAGTCATTTGTGATGCAGAGTGCTGACTGTTTAGAGTGGCCAGGGCTCCCTGGATGATCTGGGGTCAATCATTGACTCTCAGCCTGACCCACCTCACAGGGCTGTTGTGAGCATAACATGGAAAAGAGGAGGAGGATCCTATAAGTTGCTTTCGGTTCCTTGCAGGAAAAATAGAATAAATCAATCCCTCCCCTCAATTCCTTTTGGCTACCCCTTTGGCCCCAACAGGAGTGCTTTCTGTTCCACTGCCTTATGAGGGTCTCCCTGTGTTTCTGGAGCAGCTTCTGGAGACCAGAAGCAGCTCCTTCTGGAGAGAAAAACAGAACTGTGAAGAGAAACTGAGTGCTCCAAATCCAGCTGCACATGCAGAACTGCACAGACAGATCTAAAACCAGGTCCTAATGCAGAAATCCTTCCAACATCCATTTGCTATTAGCTTCATCAAGGCACTCCCTGGGACAGGGAGGAGATGAAACTCATCCTCAGCATCTCCAGGTAAAGCAGCAAGTGGCTGCTGCCAGTCAGGGTCTGTGATACTGAGATAGATGGTCCCAGGGTCTGACTCAGTGGAAGGCCACTTCCTGCGTTCAAAACACATTTATAACAAGCTGCACAGAACTCCTTCCCATTGTGCTGTTTCGTTTTCCTCTGTGCTACCACCTCGCAATTTTGAAGGAGGAAGCTTTAGAAAACATTTAAGAGGCTGAGAGTTAAATGGCCACTTAGACTCAGAAATCTGAGCCTTCTGTGCAGGAAATGAAGAGCAGCAGTATTTCAGTGTTTTTGTGATGTAAGGTTTAAAATGCAGCTGGAAGAAGTAAGTTTCTTTTATACACACAAGCTGCTGAAGACGCCACTGACTGCAACACCGATCACCCTTCAGAATGCACTCTTGACACCTGCAGCCTGCATTTAGCGGGTATGTGCAAGAGCTGTCTCGTCATTTCCTCTCTTTTCCCCATCTGATCTCAGATTTGGAAGAGCACATAAGAAGCTGCCTTATGCAGAATCAGGCCATTAGGCCATCATTGACACTGGCTGTCAGCAGCGCCCCGAAGGGGCCAGGTAAGAGTTTTTCCATCCCTACCCAGAAGTGGAGGGATCAAACCTGGGACCCTCTGCACGCAAAACTGGTGTTCTACCACTGAGCTACAGCCCAAACCGCAGGGCTGAGTGCACCATGCAAAGGTTTTCCATTAGTTTCAGTCCGCATGCTAGCCTGTGCCGGTGTTTCAGCAAGGTGTTTGACCTCCAGTGAATCACAATGTAATTTTTCAATTACTTTTCTTGAACTGAACCCTTCCTCCAAGTTGCTCAGGGTGGCACCCTTGATCCCTCACTCCTTTTACCTCAACAACCACTCTGTGAGGTAGATTAGGCTGAGACAGTGACTAACCCAAGATCACTCAGCAATGTTTGCCGTGGCAGGGTGAGAGGAACGTGAACCCAGATCTTTCCCAATTTAAGTTGAACTACCTAACTCCTACAGGCTTTCTGTCTAGATAGAAACAGGCAGAAGTTGCAATCAAAATAACTGTTTGCTCTAGCAGAACTCCAGTATCTGTGTTGGAAATCAAATGTGCCAGATTACCACAGCATCCCCAACACCAAGTATGCTCCAATTTTACAGTTTACTCTATTGTGCTACTGAGACTCTTTCAGCTCTCACAATTCTGCAAAAACAACCTTTTTCTTCATTAAAGAACAGTAAGTTCTTTAATGAACACCAGCCCATTAAAAACAGTCTTTATGCATCTCAAGGCCAGCCCCTCACAAGTTCAAATCTCTTTGGATACACAATTCAGGATAAGAAGATATATTTTCCATTCACTGGTACAAAGCTCATAATCACTAAAATTCTCAAGCATTTAAGGCACGGGGAGGAGGTAGTGAATAGCATAAAGATTTACCAGCCACTGAGAAACCTTTGTTTGGCATTCTACTTCTTTGAATGATTTCAGAGTCAGCAACGTATTACATATTCTGCAATATGTTTCACTGCAAAGAGGAAATTTGCTATACTGAATCATCAATAGAATACATTATTTTCCCAGAATGGAAAAAAAATGGGATTTCTCTTTTAAAAATCCTACATCTTCCAATTGACCACAGTGAAAATATGCTGCAGAATAACATGGGAGCAACAAAGTCTATTAAAGCAATAGCTGAAGTTTCATTAGCTTATTAGACTGCTTTCAGACATGGCCTGGACAGATTTTTTTTTAAAAAAAAGACAAGCCAGACTTGTTACTTCTAAAATGCATAGTTCTGAGGGATTTTAAAGTGCCACAGTATGATGAGTGTGCATTTGAGCAATCTTTGTCCAGATGGACACACATACTGGCAATATCAAATGCAGAATTACCCTTTGATTTCAACTGGTGAAACAAAAAAGCACCACAAACGGCAGGATTCCACATGAATCTGTAGCCTTAAGCTGCCACTTATGCAATCAGTGAGTCAGCATGCTCCAAATACCAGCAATACTTTTAAACAACATAATGAATTAAGAGAAGGAAACAATGCAACCAGGTTATTAAGAGCGGATATTGTCTTTCCCGCAGCATGGATCCAAATTTCCTAATCTTAATAAGAGGGGAGGCAAAACAGGTGCCCTGTACAAGACAGCCTCTTAGAAAAATAAAATGGTATGATCATTATCAGAAGATGGATGCATACTTTTTAGAAAGCTGAAGGTAGCATGATAAAAGCTTTTCTTTCCCTTCTGCATACCAGTCTTCCCCAATCCAGTGCCCTCCAGTGTGTGGCAGCACAACTCCCAACCCCACCCAGCCCGATACATCCTCAGGGCACCAGGCTGGGGAAGGCTGCTGTGGTCATCTAACCATTTGTTTGTTTAATACCTTTCTTCATCTGAAAACATAAATATGCATAACTAGACAACAGCAAACCACAACAGGTATTATCTGGAAAGGGGCTGAAGGGTTAATGCATAAGAGGGCAACCACATCTTCACACTACAGGTGGGTGACTTATGCTATGACTCCATTAAGCTAGAAGGTAATGATTATGATTTTGGCTGCAAAAGGTCCTAGCCCTAAAATTCCACATGGGGAAATGTTGCCATGGGAGGCTTTCTCTGTGAGGTCAGCTGATAGCAGAGGGGGGAGAGAGAGAGAGAGAGACAGAAAGAAGGGGGGAAGGGGAGAGAGAGCGCACGTGCAAGACAGACCAACTGAGGGAACATGACCCACCTACAAGTTTTCCTGCACTCAACTACAATTATATAGGGAAGATTATCTACCCCATAATTTCAGCATCTTTTCCTGCTGGCTGTGTCATACCATTTGCTGGCATAATACCCACATGATCCTCAGGGAGCTCCAGTCCAGAAATGACCCTCCTTCAAATACTGTCCTCAACTAAAAAAGGAAGGCACCATGAGCTATTTGTTGTCCTGGTTCTGTGCTCTCCTAAGGAAAACAGGATTCCCCTTACCTAATGCACATGTGCATAGTCTTAAACCTCAAGATGAACCTTTCTCTTTCAGGATACAGTGACAGAAGCACTATAATACCTAGTAAGAGGAACTGCTGCACAAACAAAATAAGCCAATAAATAGATAACTACATAAATCTAACAGCTTTTTCCTCTGTGGCTACAATACTACTGGGTTTCTTTTCAAGGGGGAAGCATTTACATAACAAGCCTTAAAAATCAAACCTGTTACCTTTAGAATCAATAGCAGGCTTGTGGGCTTGAAGTATTTTCGGCACCGCAATCCCCATGTCCAGTTCAGTTAGTGTTAGCTCATTCATGAAGTATGGCAACTAGGGAGTAAAACGAATGGGAAAGACAGTGGTGTTACACGTATTTTGGCTGCCAGACTCTAATGAGCCTACAAGAACAACTGCAAGAATCAGTCTGTGCAAACCTCCAGGCTCAGGCACTCTCCGCACCCCTCTGCACCTGCCACAAAACCAAGTGAAGGAACAAAACAGAATTCAGTTTCACTATAGCAACTGATACATGAACCAGAAACTTCAGTTTAAAAGAATCCTTGATCAATCGCTAAACAAGCCAACAATAAAACCTGGATTAATTTACTGGCTTATTTAGTAAGCTAGTTTGTTTTAAACCCTAACCCCTGGTATGTATCTAACACGTCAGGGATTTGCTAAAGTGAAACTAAATTTCAGAGGACTGCTAGAAGGGAAGTGAGGAGCAGAGACTCTTTTCTGTTTGTAGAATTCTCATTAAATTATGGTAACATACAAACATTTCCCTAGACTACAGGGATCCTCTTAAGCCATGTAGCATAGACTTAGAAAGCTGTCTCTTCTGGTCTACCTGGCAAGCTTCTGGGTAGCTACGTTCTACTCACTAGTCACTACCATTGTCTTCCTCGGTTCCCTGGGAAGACAGCAGGTGGGATAAGATGCAACATGGCATTTGTTTCTAGTGGGATGCTTCCCTGTTCTTTGTGGTGCCCAAGCTTTTAACTACTGCCTCTATCTCTCCAGCTAGTGATGGGTGGCCAATGAGGCAACTACAGCTGAGTACAGCAACAAATACCAAGAGAACTGTATGATAGTAAGAATAAGCGCATGGTGAGAACAACTAATTACGCTAACCTGGTTAACTCTGCAAAAAGGTTGGCAGCGCTAGCAGACTATCACATCATGTACCAATGTGCATTCAGTATTCAGTGGTGATAAAGAGTGAATGCAGCAAAAGCTTCTGCTGTGCTCAGGATGGTGCCTCTGCAGCCAGAACAGCATGCTGCAAGTGGACGGATGCAGACCCCACCACACAGGCAAATATATAGGTTAGGGTTTGTAAGCTTGGGGGAAAAGAGACAAAATCGTATTTGTGCAATCAAAAGACAGAGTGCTTGGTGCTTGAACAGCTGGGGATGGAGAGAGATAAGAGCCACAGAGCTGCTTCACTGGCTCTGCTGAAAGACCAGCAAGGTTTGGCTCCTCTCTTCCTTGAACCAGTTCTATTCCAGCTGGTCAGTACAAGAACTTTGGAAACTAAGACGGAGCACACAGGTTTCTTCCTCCTTCCAATCCCTTTTCCTTTGTGTCATGACTGTGAGATTGAGGAGCAGCTATGGCAAATGATTACATGAAGGGCCAAGTAAGGGCATGGTTCAAGGGAAAACAGGCTGGGAAAGAGCAAGGAAGGGATGACTCCGATACCAAGGCGCAAGAGAACATCCTTCAACCACACAGCTTGGAGCTGGGCATTTTATTCTTCCTTGAAGAATCAAAACTGGAGATGCTTGGAAAAGGGTTGTAGTAATACCTTGATTTTGCTGAGCTTCATTTGTATCTTCTTGGAGACCATGTCAGACCAGTATTTTTCTCCCAAGAAGTCCCAAAAGATCCTTGCAAGCAAAGCATTTACCCATGCTTCCTGCTCCTCTTCTTCACAACGGGAATCCGGCAACTGGTGAGAGAGAGAAGTTTTTCCACTTATAGTAATCTTCCCAATATTGCTGAAGTTATACAGTTTAACTTTGGCTGCATCTAGCAAGGAAACTGCATAGCACATGTAACTGACTAGTGCAAACCTGTTTATAAAAAGGATATAATTTGATCTGCCCACCAGCATACAAAACCTAAGTGTTTCATGCTCATTATTTCAAATATTTCCCAAAGTTGCCAGTCTTCTGTTTGAGAGTGAGGGGGTATTATAGCAAATGGAGAAGAGCTGGCCAGTGGCAGAAGAAAGAGTTGCTGCAACTGTGGAGGCATCATCAGGAAGCCAGGGAAGGACTTGTGCACCTGGTCTCACAGCTGCACTGAACCCTGAATGCAAGCTGCCAATGACCCAGGAAATCAGGAAGCCTAGAGCAAGGGTGATCTGAGGCGCAGCCAGTGGGGCTGCCAGATCTGAGGTATTTTTAACAGAACTGGGCAGATGGGGCAGGAAAGCAGTTGGTTGCAGAGGGAGAAGCACCAGAGGCACTACAGCCCCGTGGGCCGATCACTGGAGCAGACTAGCCAAGAGGGGCACTGTATTCATGTCCCACTTGTCGGCTGCCGCCCCCGTGGCTTTTGGTGGGCTTCCGAATAAAAAGAGAATGGTAGACTTGGCATGGTGCTCAAAGGTGGGAGCATCTGTATGGGGGCAACTTCTTTAGTCACAGCAAGATCTTTAAGGAGCAGCTCACTCTGCTGGGGAAGGAGATAAAATTTTCAAAGCAATACTTACGAGCAGACCCTCTGACTGCCATTGAAATCTGAGTGCAATCGTGAAGGACGTAACTCTCTACGGTTACGACATGCTCTACTCTTGCTGCTATACTAATGGACTGGGGCCAGTCCTGCTCTTCTTGACTATGCATATTTTATTACTTTTTAAGGTAACATCACTCCTGATTCTTGGGACAACCCTGAATTAGGCCCAGCAAGCCTGGTCATGTCCTCATTCATTCATTCATTCATTTATTCATTCATTCAACACTTTTGTATGCCGTCACCACATGCCTTGGCATCTCCGGACGGCTCAAAATACATACAATTAAAAACAATAAAACAGTCTTTATAAATAGCAAATTCAGTAAAAGATTATATAAGGACAAAAAATGAAAACAAAAAGAGTGACTGTTCAATGATAAAATATTAGTTTTTTAAAAAGCGATTAAATAAAAAGGTTTTACTTGGTGCCGAAAAGAATATAAACTCGGCGCCAAGCACACCTCTCCAGGGAGCACATTCCATAATCTGGGCGTCACCGCAGAGAAGGCCCTGCTCTGGGTAGATGTTCTTTTTATCTCCTTTAAAGAGGGCTCCCGGAGCAGAGCCTCTCCCGCAGATCTTAAGGGCCTGAGGGCATGTAAGGGAAGAGGCGCTCCTTCAGGTATCCTGGTCCCAAGCCATTCAGGGCTTTATAGGTTAAAACCAGCACCTTGAATTGGGCCCTGACTTCAATCTGAAGTCAGTGTAGCTGGTAGAGGACCAGGGTTATATGAGAATAATGACTGGTCCCCGTCAGCAGTCTGGCAGTTCTGTTCTGTACTAGCTGAAGTATCCAGACCATTTTCAAAGGCAGCCCCATGTAGAGCGCATTACAGTAATCCAACCAGGAGGTTACCAGAGCATGAATCACCGTTGCTAGGCGGTGCTTGCCCAGGTAAGGACACAGCTGTATGTATATGGGAGCTTGGAAGGAAGGATTTAACACAGGCATGAAGAACCTCCAGTTGTATCTGTTGATAGGTAACCACATAAATTTCCTCCGTAAGGGGTCTCATTGCCCTGACAACATAGCACGGAAACCAGTGAACAGAAAAAGTAGAAAACATTCACAAGGTGGGCAGAGCTCTGCAAAGTCCATCGAAAATATACCCTTCCCAGCACCACAGTACCAGCAGTGAGAAACCTCTTGTACCCCACCAAAGTGTAAGCACAGCCACCATATTTCAAGACAAAATGGGGAGATCATATACGTCACCTTCTTCATAGCTGTAGGGCTGCTGTCAGCACTTTGAACTGGACTAGCAACAGGGCTCGTGTGTTCTTGTGGAATGCACTTTGCCATATACACGTTGTAGTCGAGCAACACTTTTTGCCTCAAGCTGGCTGCCAGTTCCTTCTGCTTTGGCTGAGAGAGGATTTCTTCTGTGCTTCCTTTGCTGCTGCTACGGCTGTGTGTGAGAATTCCAGACTGGCTATTGGATCTACTGTGTGCTGGCAAGAATCCTAAATGCAGGTAGGGGAAAGCTGCCATTAATAAGTCATCAAATACAAAACTTTACGTCCATGAAAGCCAGAAATTTAGCATCCAAATACAATGCAAGACCAGAGCTGCAAGTTAGCACGGCACGACGAGAAGTGCACATGTGGTTTTAGCCCCTTCTTGCAGATGGGAATACAATACCTTCAAGGCTCCTATATACTGTAATTCGTCTGTTATGTAACCACACTTATAACAGTGGCATCACTTTCCCAAAGGTGTGGAAAGTTACCATAGTATGCTTTTTATCTCTGTAACAGATTCCACAGTGTCCTAAGGCAACTGGCTAAGAAGGTTGCCAGGGCATCTTTTTCAAGAGTTAAAAAGTATATATTCTTAAACATGTTTTGGTAAGTGCAAAAAAGACAGAAAATTCCAAAAAGGCAGACAAGGTCGCCCATGCCTGCCTGCTTATCTGAGCAACGAAACCACACTCTCCAGTGGGAACAGGGAAGGGCTATGTACCCACATAACATGAAGAGAAAGTTCCACAAAGCCCCAACCAACTTCCTTTAACTTCTGATGAAACACAGTCTAACTCTGTCCTGATCTAAGTGTTACATAACTGCCATATTATGGGCTGAATCCAAGCTTGGGTATGTAGACTATCCAGCTTTCCTGAGCAAATTTTGAGGGTGGATGGAGGAGCTCCAGGGAGGAAGGAAAATTGCCCCCTCCTGGCTCCTCTAACAAAGCTTCTTCTATCATTAGAATGACACCACTGGATACAACCCTAAGTGCTCAAAGGTTCAGTTATGACCCGCATTTTAGATCTATTATTCTATGTTTTATCACAGCTAACTCAAGTGTCTTGGAAGGGCACAAGCCATCAAAAACATTTTGTTCTACAAACATCCCAAAAGAGGGGGAAATTATCTGTAACCAAAGAGGAAGGATAAGATAAAGGAGTTTATTAAATATTAATGGCAGCTTGCCACATTGGATTTTAGAATCACAGATCTCAGCCAGTTAAATCTTATGTTTCTTGCTAATGTAACTTCAACTGGGCTCCTGCTTTTCCTAAATATTTCTTTTGAGACAGAATGACACATATCTAATCATACAACAGCAATCATGGTATGCATCACTAATGACACGGATTTAAAAAAGCAGCTGAAGCAGCTCTTGAAGAGACTACTGCACCAAAATACTTCAAAACTGAGTGTCCAAACATTTACAAGTCCCTTCATAGACAAGCTTTTAAATTTTGTCTCCTTCTAGAATATGCAACTCCAATGAATCTCTAATAAGCTGATTTTTTTTTTTTTTTTTTTTTTGGGAGCTCACTTTTAGAGGTCTTAATAGCATGAACAAAGGATTACCTACCTGGCTTGTTTCCACATACCGCAATTGGCTTTTTCCCTTCAGCTTTCAATCTGGAAGCCATAAGGAATCTCCTAAACCATTCTTCCTTCTCCCTACCAGTCCTTCCAAATAGATAAAGTACTTGGTCCTTCTGGGTAAAGGACTTTGTTCCATCCTGAGATTGCTTCCTGGATTCTTCACTGTTTAGATCTACTTTTTCTACAGGTGGCTTCTCTTCTGAGGCCTCTTTATCAATCTGAGCTTTAGCCATGAAATCATCTTGTTTCCCAAGCTCAATGCAAATAGGATACTTTTTATTCCAGATTCGTTTTCGAGCTAAACTTTTGGGGACCAGATGAATCTGGAAAACAAGTTAGTTAGTTGGTTTCATGATTTAGTTTCCTGGCCAACCTCACCTGAATAGGAATATAGAATAGCATGCATTAATCAAACATATAACCAACTGCAAAGACCACCACCCATAATAACTTAGAACAGGTATGATCTTTCTGAACTTCTCTCAGGGAAAGCTCCAGCTTTGTCTAAGAGGTTTTTAAAAGCTTGGGATAAACTAGACCCAGCTGCCTCAGCCCTTGGCCCATTCCCAGACTTTCCTGTTGAGGCTACTTCTCCTCTCTTGCAACAATATCACTTTGGAAAATCAACTATAGGGAACACTGACAGAAACTAGTGCTGACAGGAGCCAATTTTGAGTGGAGGCAAAGTTCAGGGAGCAGAGAGTGGCTCATTTCTTAACATGGTTTGGGTTTTCCAAGGTAGGCGAGGCAGGGATAACTGAGATGGGTTCCCAGTCATTTCAACCTGAATAGGCTAATACATTGGCAAATGCATGGGTCTCAGGTTACTTATAATAGCATGTGCAACAGCCCTGAAAGCAGGTATTATGTCAAACTTCTTTCAGCCCAAAGACTAAGTGCCATTTCTGAGATCTTGGGGGCAGCATTCCAGTGGCTGGTGGGTCGAAGAGCAAAAGGGACAGAGCCAAAAATATCAAACATATTGATATATTTTAGCTTAAAGCTTTTACTACCAGTAATTAACCCTTGGGAGAGGCATCCAAGCATTTATAATAGGAAAAAAACTTCAAAAAATCCAGGAAACCACCAAATGATCAGAGGTCAGGAAACTGGGCAGGGTTGGTCTTGGCCCACAGGGCTGGAGTTTGACATCCCAACTCTAAAGCAATCAATTACATACTTTCACTGTATTTACTTACACCAAGCTGCAGGAATCAGATTTCTTGCTAATTACACTTGGCCTGTTCCATGCTTGTCTAACGATCCCCAAGAAAACCCTAGAACTTAGTATAAGTCTCTATGAAGCCCATTCTTCATAGATGCAGAACTGTTTGGATTTGACATTTAAAGTTTAATAAGAAGGCCCAGAAGCAAGAAAAGTGCTGGCTCCTTTCTGCCCGAAATTTTTACAAAAAAATGTTGAAACTTAAAACTAATGCCAGAGGGTTTGCCTTCCCTTCTAGCTCCCATTCCCTTTCTGTTTTATCTTTCTGACTGTAAACCTGAGGGCAGGAACTGTCACATTCCTGACATTTGTAAGTCAGCCCAGGAGGCCCCCCCCCTTTTTTTTGCTGAAGAGCAGGGAGAATTCCTTCAAAAAAATACAATTACAGTCCACAAATGATAGGAAAAAAACCCAGTACTACATCTAGGTGAACAGACACTCCTATGCAGTGTTTCTACCTGAATAGCTCCCACCTGTGGCCTCATACTGATCAAATCATGCAATCTTACTGGTTTGAAGTATTTTTAGTCATAAGTTCTGATTTCCCCCTGTTTAAATACCAAGACCAAAAACTGGGAAAGAAAGAGGGAGAAAGATATAGATAGCTCCAAAATGGGGGCAGGGGAGGAAAGAAGGGAGAAAGCAACCTTGTTAAAAAGCCAATCAGGGCAGAAGTAGATACGAAGGCAGGCACAGGGATAGCACTGAAAAGAGAAAGCCCATCTTTCTTTCTCCCCCTTAATACCTAGGAATACTCAACATACTATTTGGAAGGCAAGAAAACTCTCAGCATAATGATGTCACACTCTGAGAATCCATAAATACTATGAGGCAAATGGGTAGTGAAAGCAAAGCACAAGGATCATATATAGGCAGGAGTCCATGCCATTCATAATGGCTAGTTCTGTTCCCTTTCATAGTGAAACACTGCAACAGACTAAACAATTTTAAAATAAACACTCCCATCAACACCATATGGAATTTACTAATAGATATTAATTGAACTTACCTTACTCTCCGTAAGATCATAAATTTTCTGGCTAATATAGGTGACATCAGGCTTTGTTTCATTGTAAACAGCCCTTCTGGAAATATTTTTGTTGGGTTTTGAAAGTCTCAAAGTACTTCCCTCAAGTCTCACGTAGACAGAGTGAGTCAATGTAGCATGGTACGTTTCTGGATCATAGTTGTGGATCTCGTTCATCCAGCCCTAGCAAATAGATACACTATCAGAAGGCAATACTTCGTTCACAACGGTTCCTAAAAATAATTCGAAATACTAACCACTCTAAGTCTGCCACAAATTCAAGCTATCTTCTATACCTAAAAGATATAGGTATAGAAAGACCTAACATGTTACAGGAATAACTGGTCCTAGAAGATTAACCTCGTTTCTTCTGTAACTTGGATGGGAGACATGTTTAGATATTTGAGCTGGAGATGGCTAGAGCATGTCCATGTCTGGGCAGGCACAAGACTGAGAAGCTACCATGTAATATGGGGTTTCCGAAGTGAATGGGTAATGATGGAGAGAAGAGAAATGAAGAGCAGATGAAGCAATTAGCCTGTCCAGATTTAATAGAAGTTAAGAATAGAAAAGGCAGGTAGGAGTGGTATAGAAATTCTTTGAGGCTTGTGCTTGCTAGCCCTTCTTCTGTCTGTACATCTAGAAGCAACCCAGAAGAAAGTCACCAAGGATTCCTGGCAGTCAGCTCTCCAGAGCCTTATCAAAGGCACTTTCAATCCCCTTGTTTCCTCCTCAAATATCACAAAAAGCACATGAATAACATCACAACGTGGATCTTGTTATCTGACATGTCCTAAAGATCATCCTGAGCTGCTACAAAGAATGATGCAAAGCACAGCAGGGCTTTCCAAATGGTGTTCTCTAAATGCGCTGGACTATACCTCCCAATATTCCCCAGCTGGGAGTTGTAGTCCAACACTTCTGGCAGAGTCCAGGCTTGCTTATGCAATCTTCTAAAAATCAAGGGCTGTTTCACAAAAGCATGGGGACTCCCCACAGTATAGCACTTGGCACATTTCCATGCCTACTGAAGGCAGCAAACCAGCCCCTTTGTGCCCAAAACTCTTGTGTACATCACAGGCCTTCGATCAAGGCACAGGAAGGCATTGTCAGATCACTACAAAGCTACCAGAGGTGCAGCATTAAGACAAAATCTACTTATTGGAAGGAGCAGAAAAAACATCCCATCACACCAGACCACTCTCAAGCAGGAAACACAGTGAGGACTGAAGCAATGTGGTTTTCTACAAAAGATTACATTTGAGACAGCGACACACAAACTTGATTCAGAGCAACCTCCATATTCCAGTCTTTCTTTCCATTTAACTGGATAATGGAATTAGAAGGACCACATACTGTTCCACTGATTTATCACACCTGCTGGCTCAGGGTTTACGGTTAGAGTAACTGGATTAAGCTTTGCCAGTTTAACCACATTAGAATTCCATCCCACGCATCTATTTTCTTCATTAGCAGAAGAACAGCCATTTCTTTTCTTTTGGCACATCAGGTACACATGTGTTGCCCGTATTGTTGGAAATCACAACCTTTTAGTCAAAAATCTCTCAGGTCTCCTAAATCCAATCCCAATATTTAGTCATCACCTAACATCTCTCTCAAGCGACAGATGTGTAATATCCACAAACAGCCATTTTTCCTGTATTATCCACAGCAGAGTTGTCAACTTTCCTAGCCTGCATCAAGCAAAGAACAGCTGGGCTGTTTAAGAGAAAATGGTAAACTCAATTCCTATCCTACCTAAATAAATCTGTCTTTCTTCTCCTTTCCAAATTATGCATTCTCTTTTAGGAACCGCTGAAATTGCTTAGCCTGGGGAAAAACATTTAAGGTGAGACATGATAGTAATCTTCAAATCCAAAGGCTCTCAAGCAGAAAATAGTACACACTTGCTCCAGAAGTCAAGGGAAAAAAAGACAAGGGTGGAAATTGGATAATTTGGCTACATATAGTAAGAATTTCCCTATGGGGAGAGCTGCCTGACTGTGTAACACACTAGCCTGGGACCTTGCTGCTGGAGGTACCAAAGCAAAGGCTGCATGGTTGTCTGCCTGAGGTGCTTGTAGCTGTATTCCACCTCTGCAGATCTTGCATGAAGCAGAGGGTTGGACAAGAATGTTGCCTCCATTTTATATATGAACAAATTTTCTCCTATTATAAAGAGCAAGTTTTAAGGGTAGAACTGGGGGTTACCAGTACTCAGGTCATACTCCTTACAGAGCTAAGCTTCTTTGCTAGATATAGGCCATTAAAAGATATTTCCGGTAAAAGAATTAGCCTGTCACTTCAGAGAGCTGATTAAATAAAATAATTAACACATTAGTATTTAAACTGCCTCCATAGCATTTCAGGATGCTAGACTAGATGAACTCTGGCCTGATCCAACAAGGCATTTCTGTACTTATGCAAGTCATATCATTTGTGTAACGCAAAAATATTTAGGATTGCTACATAACCATTACAACATTGCTCAAGTCATTTTGAAAGTTCAAACACAGATTACAGGCTTTCCACTTTCAAATGCAAATTTACCATTTTAACATCTTACATTTCATATGGTGTCAGCTTACTTTATCTGTCCTGACTCTTATGGTATACAACTTAAAGATAAAAATACCATTTCATGTTTAGTGTTGAGTTCTAGTCTCAGAACCCAATGCTTGGAACATGCTTTAGTAATACAACTAATACGTCACTTTGCATGCGAACAGAAATAAAAAGCCTGGACCTCTGCGAAGTATTTCTGGTACTTCCAGGGTACCACTGCTTGTTCCACATGGGTAGGGCAAATTGGGCCACAAAACTAACTGATGTTCGTACTTGTTTTAAACTAAACACCTGATCCCTCAACCTACTGCAACCTGCCACATAACATTAAGGACAACTCCATGCATTATAAATCCCACATGTGTTGCTGCATCAGCATTCCTGAAGCAAACATGTATATGCAACCACCATACGCTCATCTAAAAATCAGCCTATAGGAAAGGGATCCCTTACAAATTCCATGTGTAAAGTGAAACACATGGAACACAAGGAGCTGCTTTATGCCAAGTCAGACCACTGGGATAATTATTTGTCTGCACTTTCGATTACTGAAAACGCATGCACAAGAGGAATACTGTGCTGCTTTCAACATTAAGAGCTCTGGACATTTGGTTTCATGGAACTAGAGCCCACTGCATTGCATACTCTAGTCCAGCAAACCCCAGCATGGTGCCCTCCGGATGTCTTAGACTTCCATCAGTCCTAGCCTACACAGGTAACAGTCAGGAACGTTGGGAGTTGTAGTCCCAAACACCTGCAGGAAACCAAGCTGAGGAATGCTGTTCTAGTGCATGAAAGTTTATGCCACAATAAATCTTGTCAGACTTTGGTGGGACTTCTTTGTGTTTACCATGAAAGAGTGAACAAGCTGTCCCCTGGAATTTAAAAGCATTGTAAAGTTTAAAAACAATGTCTGAATATTCACTGTATGTGCATGTTTCAAAAATTTCCTTAGATTGTACTGTTAAAAACTAACTTTAGTGTTATTGATTTCATAAAAAGTGTTTTGCTTTGTTATGCAATAAATACATATAACATTATTTATGTCTGATGCCACCTATAGATATATTGAATTAGTCTCAAAAGCATTTGCATTTCATTCTGGACTAGAAAAGGAGAAATTTATAACTGTGGTTTGATTGACTATATTGATCTGTAATAAGACCATAACGGGGTCTTACATTTCTCTGTCACTGCACTTAAGACAAGATCATATAGCACCAGCAGTAAGTATATTGTCCATGGATTACTCTCCATGGGTATTTGAACACATAAATCATATGGAGCAGTGCACACATCTCTGATAAACCTACGTGAAGGGAAACCAAGTACAAAAGTATTATGCAAATCTACCAAGGATAGTACGCAGCAGAGATATGACAAAGGATGTCTAGAATTAGGTGCAATCTAAACTGCAACTTAGGGGCCAAACAAAATACTATAAAAAAAACTATATATATTTGTATATCTGTCCCATTCATGTACATGTGGGGGTGCACTATTTAAATCAAAAGGCACAACTGGGGAACAAAACTGAATCTTCTCGAGTTACGTCAGGTACTTTGTTCCCAGCTTTTTTCCAACAGCAGAAACAAGTTGGGCTAGAAGCACTTGGCTTGACAAGAGTGCAGGCTGGTTAGGTTTCGAGAGGGTTGGGTTCCTTCACCTACACAACTCGTTTCCCGTTAAAGGTAAGACCAACCCACCCCACTGTATAAATAGCTGAGAGGAATGAAGTATTTGTTTTGTGCACCATTTTTAGCAGGAAAATGAGATATAAATATCTAGTTTAGCCTTCAAACAATTATTATAACAGAAGCCTTGATGGAACAAACCAAAGGTCTATCCAGTGGCATCCTGTTTCCCAAAGCAGCCTACCAGATGCCTCTGGGGAGCCTATAAGCAGGCTGTGAGCAGAAAGCCCTTCCATTCTTCTCCCCAGCCACTTCTGCGCAGGAGTGAACTTTCTTTGGTCCCAGAAGTAACAGAGTAACCACTGATAGTCTTATCCTTCATGGATTTGCCTAATCCCCTTTTAAAGCTAGTGATGGATACGACCACATCTATTCCTCTGCTTTGTGTGTTTCACTTCATGCTATGCAGCGATGCACTTCTGCCCTTTTTAAACCAGTATATCTTAACTTTATAATTATCATCTGCTGCGATTTCATGTATTTTTATTGTAATTTGTTTTTGTCTTCCAAGTCACCTAGAGAATATCCTATAAGCAATATAAATAAGACATAGCTGTGTGTTGTTCCCCTCTTACTTGCCTTTTTCTACACTGAAAAGTCCCAAACCTTGTCATCTTTCCTCATAGATCTAGCCACCTGGACCCTCAGAGCAGTGAAACAGTGAAAAATGCAGAAAAGTCTACTCAGAAGCCTAGAATAGTGTGTGTTAATCTTTATAATGTTAGAATTTTGGCTTATGTGAGCCCTGAACACCAAAACAGAAACCAGTGGTGTGGTTGGCCCCAGACATATTGCTGTCTGAGCAAAGGAAAAGTTGGTGCTCCACTCTATGTACAGGAGCTGACCAGACGGGCAGTTGAGCCTGAGTTCAGCACCAGGAGCAGGCCAGTGCACTGCAGCACACTAGCTGAGGGGACTCAAGAAAGTTCACATGGCAGCTCTGTCCTTCCACACCTTGCTACTGCTCCTGCCCCCTAGCATTTGCTGCCTGGAGTGGCATGTCACTCGCCTAATGGTAGAGCTGGCTCTGTCAAATGGGACAGGGGGTCCAACCTTCCCTTTAAACAGTGAGATACTAAGTCAAATGTGGACCCACCCCCACTACCAAAAGAAGCCATTATCCAAACTTTTCTTTCATACCCAAAGAATAATGTTTCAGGTACAACAACAGGACTCCACACTAGAGCTACACTTCTTCAAACATTGTTCAGGAAAACACTGTGTCCAGAAAGTTTTGCCTGGAAACAACATCAAATTTAAGCCACAGCCTTTATCACATAAACATATGGAAACTTGAACAATGCACTACTGTGTGATTGCCACATAGACGATTGAAAAAGCCCTCTTAAAAGAATCAAATCCTAGGGAGCACTGGAAAATTCCTCTGAAGGGAAAAAAATAGGATAAGCCTCTTCCTAAGTTAAGAAAACTAGCATTTCAGTTCAGTACACAAAATTAAGCTCATTCCTTTGCTTGTACAATCCTTCAGCAGAAAAAGAACAGCCGTTATTAAAGATAAATTTTAACACATGCTTTTCCTATAAGAAACTCAATCTCCCACAGTGAATAATGTGTGGGAATAATTACATTTACATCTTGCGACAATCCACAATTTCCCTAGGCCCACAGTTTTGCTGTTAACTTGTACTTATCATGGTAGCAGCACAGTGAAAAGGACAGAAAGTTGGACTTCCTGATTCAGCACCATCCTTCTGTGGTCCCTCTATGATTGTTCTTCGGTGTTTTCGCTTCCAAATGCTGATAATAGATTCTGGATAGCTCCATCCCTTCAAACCTGAACAATTATCTTCCTGTTCCAGAACGAAATGTTTAAAAAAGTCACTGCCAATTTAAACATACACAGTACGCCACTGTATGTGTGCGCGTGCACACACACAGAGAGAGAAAGAGAGAGAGAACTGGTGGGGCCCACCATACTAGTCTCCAGACATACACTACTCATAGCTGCACAGAAGTGTAGTCTGTGTAAGAACTGGGTAATGAGCAATGCAGGCATGTTCAGGCCAGGAGTGGAAGCTGGGGGTAATTACAGAACACCAAGAAAGAGGAAACCTATGACCAAAAGTGGAGGGCAGTATGTGCATGGAATTTCAGTATTAAAATTACAAGGCACCTCACCACTGTGCAGAAGACAGTGACCAAGTGACCCTGCCTGTTCAGCCTGTTTAGCCAGGTGCTCACTGTTGATGGGCCGCAGTCTGGAAGGCTCTTTCTCTTTTGCCCACAGTTGTGCAACAAGGGCAACTCCTGAAATAGAAAGGCAGCTTGACCACCCTTAAACCATCCCTTAAAAAAAAAAGACACCACATGCAAAGGGGTCACAGCTTTTGAACTGTAAGAAGTAGGAAAGAGACAGTAACAAAACCACTGTCTTAGGACAGATTCCTTTCAATTGTGTTTACATTCCAACTGGTTGCAAACTGGATCACACGATTCTTCAGCTGAAGCATTCAAGCATGAAGCCAAAGCTCTTGCTCTGCCACTTTATTTTGGTTCAGACTCACAGAACGGGTAGCAGGGGAAGGGAGAGACAACAGAAGTCACACAAATGTTTGCTAAGTGAGAGTGGAAACAAGACAGTTAAGCAGAACACCAAAGAAAGTGCCTGTGTTTGCGGGGGGCGTGGGGAGGAGGAGGAGGCTGCAGAACAGTAGGATGGAGGCCTATTTTAGAATCCTGTGCCCAGAAGGAAGACAAAGCTCACTGGAAACAGTGTCCCTTGCAAAAGCATTTGGGCTCCAGAAGCATTACTGCAAAACCAAGATCATGGGCAGGAAAAAGGCTGATAAACAATCCACAGGCGCGCTGCTGCCGCCACCACAGCGCCTGTGTACTGAAAAAGCCACAGGAAAAGCCCAACTGTACAAAACCAGCAGTACTTAACAGAAAGGGGGCAGCTATTTAAAATGCAATCCACTTATTCATTTAGCTATATGGTGCTTAATAAGCAAAGACATTCAAAAGAGCAGTTTTCACAGAGGCTGTAAGTTTGGCATAAGACCATTACAAGAATTTCCTAATTTGAGTTTGAATATTCCCATAACATACCTGCTACAGGACATGTTTCCCACTGTGAATTTTCATACACTAAATTTCCATTTGTTTTAACATAGTTGGCCTTGTGCTTAACCAACAGGAAAAAAATGTTACACACGCCTTTCAGCTGGTTCAGTTCATTGATCTCCCAAAAGTGCTGGATACACTCTGAATACTTTTATTCAGGAGTTTCAGGCTGTGCTCCAGCCACACTGGCAGAAGTTCTTCGGCATCATAAACGCTCAGGCACAGCGGCACCCTGTTCCTTAGAAGCACTAATTTGGAGGAGGATTTACTGTTCTCTCCACAACAGGAAGCAAACCCCAATAGCCACTGCTGAGGCTCTTTCACCAATGCTGCCAGTGGGACACAAGGTTTTAGCACTGGCTCCATACTTGGAAATGCTTGCAGCTAGCTGTTCTAAAGCATAACACCACTGCCTAGGATGGGGCATTGAACCCCTCGGAGGCCAAATTCAATTCCAGAGGGCTCGCAGGGGCTGCATTCCAGTGGTGGGAAGGGAAGGGCCAACATGCTACTGTATTCCAGCATAAAGCTCTCGCAGCCAGTAATTAAGCCTGAACAGAAGCATGGCAATCCTGTAGAGTGGAAGCAAAAGCTACAGGAAAGCAGGGTGGGGCTATGGGAAGGGGACGTGGCCCTTTCAGGGACTATGAAGGACTAGATTTGGCCCTGGGCCTAAGGTTCTGCACCCCTGGTTTAGGCTGAAAGGCCTGAGTTACTGCCATGTGCTTGCTTGGGAAGCACTGGCCTCCATGGACTTGTCAGGGCAAGACAAGACAGGCAAAAGCTCTGCCACAATACGGCCGCCAAAAGACTGCCACTGTAAAAACAGCTTAAGATTTAAGGTGGGATTCCTGATCTGATCATGAATCCATGCTGCAAGTCTTTCTCCCCATGCACACCTTGGATGTGTTAATGCATCCCTGCCCCACTTGAGCTATGCTAAGGTATGTCTGTCCTGAAAGTTCTCTCTTTTGTGCTGTGTGTCTTAACATTCAACCCTTTTGTTTTACTCTCATATGCCTCTAGCAAACCGTGTGATCTCTCACTCTCCTCCAAACTGTGTATGTAGCTGATAATTATAAAAATATCTTGTGCAGACTCCTTCTTGGTAGTCCCTTCAGGGGCTACCTACATGCTGCAGTTCAAATAATCCCTTAGCATACGTGTTACAGGCCAGGTTTTCACAGCTATTTCTCATACACTAAATAAACTGTAAATGTTCTTTTGATTGTGCATCCCCAGGGAACTCTCTGGTTTTTCCTTGCAGGTGCCTGGTTTTTTCAAATCACAAATCCCATTTACTCTTGCATTCTAAGCAAGTAGCTTTGCCCAACATTAATACACAAAAAAGAAAAATAAAGGTAGAAGAAGATACATGATTCCTTTGTTTCTCATGTGTACACATTTAAGCAATTACACTCTTCTTCTTTTTGGCCTTTGGAAAAGGAAACAGGCACAGCATTCTCTGAGAAAAATCAGACTTTTAGGCTGTCTTACAGTGTGGGCATGCCAGAGCAGCAGGCTTTGATGTACAATTCATTGACTAACTGTGAAGTTCCCAGGAAGAGCAAGGAAGAGTAAGGCTCAGTTTAAAAGAGGGATGGGAATCACCTTCAGGTGTTTGGTCTACGACTCCCACCATGCCTCGTCACTGGTTATGCTAGCTAGGACTGATGAGAATTGTAGGTTAAAACATCTGAAGGGCCAAGCATTGTTCACTCCAATTTTAAAATGCAGAAATCGAAAGTGAGATGAACTTCCCCTCCCCACTAGGAATTATCCTCCCTCTGAAAGGGACTTCCAAATGTTTTTCTTCTGAAAGAGCACCAACTCAAACTAAATCCTTATCAGGAGAATAAAGCAGGTGGCTGTCCTGATAGAACAGCACAGCAGTGGGGGAGGAGAGGGAGATAAGTCCCACAGAAAGAGTATGGAGATGCCCTCCTGCTCAAACAGACACTCTGGATTCTTTATTGGAATTCAGTCCAAGCCACATTCTAACAGGCAGGTCATGTTGCCAGCATGGATAGCACAGCTGGAGCCTCACAGATGGGGAACCACATGCCAATGCACTGGTGCCGTAAGGGCAACAGGAGCCACCATCGCCAAAGGAGGTGGTAAAACCATTTTTGCATTACCAGATCAGCCCTGCTCCCAAGTGAATCATGCACCTCCATTATAACCTAACTGAGTGTTGAAGTCACACTGTCTGAACTGTGTCGCCACAGAGATGTGGTAAAGCAGTCATTTGACCATCTCACTGGTGTTTTGGACAAGTGGCCATGACAAACGTACAAATTGCAATGGGGAAAAAAACAACTAACTCAACTCATCGTAGCTTGACTGAGCAAGTGATGAAGTAAATGCAGCGAGTGCTTTATCGAGCTTCTATTCCAACAGCGATTACCGTATTGCCGAGTGTAACATTAATTCTCCCTCCACTGCTGGTGTGGCTTGAAGTATATTTATTATGGGAAGGCTGGGTGTGTGTATATCTGTGAAAGCTTATAAAGCAAAGCAAAGACTCACCCTCAGTATTTCAGGTTCTTGGATGTCTAGAGGTTCTGTACTCAGCTGCTTGTTCCAATTTGTATGCAACCTGTTATTCCTAGCACTTGGAGTGAGAAGCCAAATCACACAGATAGCGATCATAAATCCAAGGGCAACTCCCAAAAAGAGCCCATTGAAGTAACTAGGGAGAGGGAGTATAAGGTAAGCATAGATCAGCATGGTGAGAAAATACAATGTCTTCACTGGAAGCGGAGGCTGTGGTAGACATAGGTCCATGTCACCTTCACTGCTGAAGGGCATAGCCCTCTCCTCAGGCATTTCCACCTTTGGTACCTTTTCCAAAGGCTGGTCGGGTTTGTCATCCTCTATTAAGCAGAAGTCATCAGAATACAGTTCACAGAACTCCTCATCTTCCTTGCTTGCCAAGGCAGACAGAGAACATCTTTCCAGTACCAGGGAACCCTTTGAACTGGAGTCCTTTGTGCTTAACAAGGGTGAGCTTCTACTTTCAGCTTCGGATGCATATTCTTCAGGCTGTTTCATACTCTTATTTACACTGGAGTCACTTCCATAATATTCCCCTTCAGAATCGCATTCTTCCTCCTTAATGCTGTAGTTGTTATTGCTTTCCAAATGGCCATTCAAGCCGGAGAGATTGGAAAGTTCTGAAGCACTTGAAGATAAGGCTTTGGGCCTGTGACTGCTGCTCTCATCACCCATTATTTTGCTGAGCAGCTGGAAAGGTTCATAAATCACTTCTGAAAGGCGTCTTTTTGTGTCCTCAATTTTGGCTTCCATTTCGGGGACTTTAAAAAAGGAGCGAGTGTCTGAAGGAGATGTTAAGGGAGAAGAGGGAGCAGTTTTGGAATCGCCACCTGTGTTCCGAGGATGTGTGAACTGTTTAAACAGGTGCAAGTTCAGTTTGGACTCGGGCGGCTTGTATGACACTGCTTCGGACTCCTGCTTTGAAGTGTCCGTGGACAGAGACTTCACCAGGGTTTTCATTAACTGCCTGTGTCTCATGGGTGGCGTGGGCTCTTTTGGTTCGATGTCTGTTGAAAGGGACTTCACTAGACTCATGAAAGGCTTTGAGCTAGTAACAGTGGATGGAAGGCTAGTCAAGACGAGTGACTTCGAAGGGGAGGGCAATGGAGAAGTAGACAGTTCGGATGGGCTAGGGGCATGAGACAAATGAGAGGAAGGGGAGAAAGCTAATGGCACGGTGCTGAATACTTGAGACTCCAGTGGCTTTACAGCTGGCGTGACGGTGGGAGGGGAGGGAAGCAGAGATGCAGCCATATTAAGCGAGGTAGTGGGACCAGAAGAATCATGGTCACCATGATCGAAGCACAGATCTTCCTTGGCTTCAAGTGCAGTTACAATGCTTTGGTCATCCAGTGCCTCAGCAGCAGAGTCCCCAAACTTTTCCTCCTCCTCCTCCTCCTCTTCCTCCTTCCCAAACGCCGAGAAATGAATGGTGATGGTTTCTCGGGAAACAGATCGCTGAACCTGCACTTTAGGCGCTGGCTGCTTTGAAGACATGTCACTGGTTTTCTCTGCATGGCTAATGTTCCAGCTTGTCATTGCAGGTTCCAGAGAGGCACAAGGGTCTGTGAAGAAGAAGCCAAATATACCATCAAGGCTGAGGAAGAATGAGGTTTTGTTCACAATCATTTGAATGCCACACATGAAAATAAATGCAGCTGTATACATGGCTAAACCAACCAGAAGATGTACAAGCATCTGACATCACTCGCAGCTCCGCTGGTGGAAAGCACTAGTATGTCAGAAGATAATTATGCAAAGGAGTTCTCATCACTGGGGCTGCAAACTCCGGCCTCAACCCAAGGGCAGCATTTACTGCCTCCCAGGAAAAAGATCTTAGCACAGGGGACCCAGCTTTGCTGCAAGCACTGGCCTGAGAAGAAACAGCTGCAAGGTTTCACTCTTTCCTGCCACAACACCTGTAGGGCTTTGAAACAAAGAACTAGTGCCTGAGTTTTGTTTTTCTTTTTTCCTACCTCCGTTTTTTCTACCTCTTCCACCTTTTGCTTTTCTACCTCCAATGTCATGTTTTTTAGTTTGAGTAGGGGCTGTCTTATTTTACTGATCTTTGTAAGCCATTCTGGAAACCTTTTTTTTTTTTTTTTTGGTTGAAGTTTGGCATTTAAATGGTTACTATCAAAGCTGAGGCCTATACTATTAGCCTGAAAGCCTTCTTGCTACTGTTAAACTTGGGGTAAAAATAGAGCAAAGACAAATAAGCAAACAGACATCAACCTGAGACATACAAGTACTCCTAAGAGCAAGTTTGAATGTGGGAACACATTTACAGAGTTATCATCTTTAATGACTGTGAAAAAACATTTGCAAAGGAGTAAGTGTAGGTGTGCATATCTGAAAGAAGCTGGTTGGCTGTAGCATATTCACTAAAGTTAATTGCCCTGCTGATTTTTTTAGCACACAAGAGTCACATGCTGAAAAGCTTTAAGGGAGCTGTGGTTTGGATTCAGGAAGACAGAGCAGGAATAACAGATACTGCCATGTGCAGCCTGTGATGTAGAATCCCTCACCCAAGCTCCGTGCAAAATGAATTCAAAACCCAGTTCCACATGGCAAGCTGGATCTTTGGATCACCACCTTTGTGTGCTAATGCAACAGTATGGCAAAAGGAAAAAAAGCAGTCTGAGTAATTCACAGGTCTGTATTCCACTGAAGCTAAAGCAGTTGTGCACAATTATTGCCATACAGGTAACAATTCATCCTTACTCCAAGTTTTCACACAGTGAGAACTGTATGAGATGATGGATGTTCCTGGTTTGTCAAATTACAGCAGATCAGGATAATTACTGTAATGTGCCTTCCAGTGATTATCATGGCAAGCAATTGAGGTTATTAATAGGGAGGACTAGGATTTCATAAATCAAAGATACTCAGTACCTCCAAGTGAATATAAATTGCTCACAGGACATGGCTTTCAAAGAGAGTGAGAATGTAAACACACATACATGTAGTTAAGGCAACTATGCATTGTTACTTAAATTATTTGTAACAGCAAACTACAGAGCAGAAGATTGGATGATTTGCATTCCAGAATAACAGATCATGCCAGGATGCTAATGGCCTTTGGTAAAGTGAGCATCATATTACACTGCAAAACCCTTCAGCGCAAAAGTGTTTTTGTGCCAACCAGACACTGCTAATACAAGAAATTTTTGCTGGATCAAAACAGCCACGTCATAGAGCAACTGGGGGGGGGGGGGGACACTATTTTGCTAGGAATCACAGAGGCCAAACGTATTCCACTTCCTTAGAGAACAGTGGTACAGAAAAGGCCTTAACTTCCCAAGGCCATATCCACACATGACAGCCAGGTACAGCTAGTGGGTTCTTTTTGACAGAATGTGAGAAGAGCCCTGTCCACCTAGTCCAGCATGCTGTTTCCACAGTGGCCAATTGGGTGTCTGTTGGACGTCCACAAGTAGGACCTCCTACTTTTGTCCCACAGCAACTAGTACTCAGAGGCATAATGCCTTGATTACTGGAGGAAATACACAGCCACTAGTAGGCACTGTAAGTCTTACATCCCATGAGTTTGAATACTCAATTATTATTGATTATAATTACATGTTGCCTTTTGTTCCTTTCAAGGAATTCAAGGAGAAAGTTTACATAATTCTCCTCCTCCTGTTCTCAGTCTTATCCCCACAACAACCCTGTGAGGTAGGTTGGGCTGGAAGTCTGTGGCTGGCTCCATGGCTGAGTGGGGACTAGAACCCAGATCTCCTGAGTTCCAGTGCTGCACTCTTAACCACTATACCACTGGTCTAGTTCTCTTTTAATGCCATCCAGATCAACAGCTCTCACTGTATCTTGTAATGAAGATTCCTTATTGGCTTTTGTCCATTTTCTAATGCAAGTTTGTGTTCATTTTTATTCTTGCCTGGACAAGGCCACTACATCCTCTTCTCCGATAGCTTAGCTCAAACTGCTCATTAGCTATGCTGGTAGACTCTTGGTCTTGGCGGTACTGTTCCTGACCCGCAGAAGGCACTGTAGCCACATTCCTGAAATCGTGTTTCTGAATAATAACCCTATCCAACCATGTGCTCTGGAGGGATTGAACCATCTTGACCTTCTCTTTCATCATCCATACCAGCTTTCCCCAACCTGGCACCCTCCAGCTATGTTACGCTCTAATTCCCATAATTCCCAGTCAGAAAGCCTGATCTATAATATGTATATTGGCCAACATTGGAAACATGATGCTGGATAATTGGCCTCATCAGCAGAATTCTCCTGGAACAAAGGAAAACTGTATAGAAAGAATGAAGTCTCTCTCCACAACCCATCAAGACTTGCTAGATTTTTCAAAGTCAGCAGCAAGTCTACTCCCATTAAAATGTGGACATATTGGAAAAGTCAGGAAAAGTCTATTCCATTGGTTCCCAACCTGTAGTGAGCCAGTCACACGTATATGCTGCTGTGCACAGCTTTTAGGTCTGACAGGTTGTTTGCTAATGCTTCAAGGGCTGTGTTTGTGACATCCCCCAACAGCCAAAACCAGAGGCATAAAACAGACAAATGTTAGGCTAGGCTGTAACACAAGCAGACTCGTCCTTTTGCTGCCATGCAGCCCCGTCACACAGATTTATTTTTTCAGCATGATGTTTGAGAATTCTGATCTCTCCACTGTAGTTTTAGGAATCTAGGCCACCTTCTAAATAGCCAAAACAAGGTTGGGAAATGGGGAGAGGGAGGACAGAAGAGCAAAGACTACCTTGAATGTCAAGACAGCTGGTTTGTCACCTTAGTAACTGCATTACTTTCAGGAGCTGTGAAAGGTGCCATAATCAAGCTGTCAAACAGAATTCATGGAAACTCCTTAAATGGAGCATTTATTGTCTTTACAAAAGGGAAAGGCACTGTTGTTCTGAGGTGGTGGTCCACATGCTTCTCCCAATTTTTAACACATTCTAAATGGCAAAAGACAAAGCAAAACAAAACCATCCACCAACCCAGCCACCAGCCATTCTCTGTCCACACAGAACACATTTCTGCATATACAAGCACAATAACAAACCAGAATTAAGACATCTGAAGAGGCACACCAACATTGTGAGCACTGTAAGTGATGGCTCTTTTTAAACCAACACCACTCTATTATATACTTTTCTCTGCTGAAGACTGAGGAAGTTTATTATTTGAAATTATTGTGTTTATAGATCTACTTTTAAAAAGAGCTTTTAGTAACCATAGCAGGCATGTCACACCACTGCCTTCACATTCAATAAAACAGAGGATGTAATTATAGTAAGTTAACATTAACTAAAGCAGGAGGATATCCTGGAACACAGCATGAATACATCCTGGTTATTTAATTATAGGGCATGTGCACACAAGGCCAAGCGCTATTCTGTAGACCCATGTAGAAGTTCAAAGCAGTCCTTCCACTGAACTCAGAATAATTCACACACAATTATGACAATTGCATGGTAAATGAACAGACCTTTGACTTGCTACATATGAAGAAATTAAACAATATCTCTAAAGGTGGTAGCATTTACATGCAGTGGCAAATCTTGTGAAGGAGAAGTGAAAGATTCTGTAAGTCATTTTCCCAGTAATTTAATGAGAAACACTGTAGTACAGTGGTTAGAGTTTTGTGAAGTCTCGGACAAGAACCCAGGAGACCAGAATTCCAATCCTCACTTGGCTACAGGGTTCACTGGGTGATTTCGGACCAGCCATGGCTCTTAGCCTAATCTACCTCACAGGACTGCTATGATGATAAAATGGAGCTTTAGAGGACTGTATAAACCTCCCTGAATTCCTTGGAAGATGAGAAAAGACAGGCTATCAAAGCTCCCATGATAGACATTTGGGCTATTAACGCTACCCTTTTCTCGAACCAAGTATATAAGCATTTCAGTGCTGCATTCAAAATTCTAACCTCCATCTACACTTAGCGATTTCAATTTTAAATTAAGTTAACCCCATTCACACTGTCTGGCTTAGATTTAGCACACAGACATTAATACAACTCAGGTCTGTATCCATCAACAACCTTTTTCTTCCACCCACATTTCAGAATGACAGGCAGAAGAAGATTCCCCCCTCCCTTCTGCTAAATGCATTACTTCAGACTATTTCTGAGTGAGTCAAAAATCTACTTGATGGTGCGCATGAATGATCCTGCTGCACTGTCTCAATAGCACATGCTATGCAAACAGCAGTTGGAGGAGCTAAACATTTCTCTGGAAATTTCATCAGGAAAGAAGACTGCTATGCCAGCCATTTCCCTTTGTCAGTCAGTCCTTCAGTTTCAGCGCTGAATATCTTAAATCTGTCATCCAATCATTTACCCAGTAATGGAGTTAAGAACAACTGATGCCTCAGTACGCAGCAATGGCATATGGCTGAGAGAGACACCAGCTGCCTGCAAAGCAGTTCCAATCAAGCCAACCTCCACATAGTGCAGGTTGCAGTCCAATCACAAAATTCAGCACCAAACTGTGCTGCTTTGAAACCTGGGTCATGCAGCTTCAGCATGGAGGTCACACAAGAAGGGGAGCAAGATAACTCATCCTGCTGCTTTAAAAAAAAGAAA